AAAGTGTGTCTGCTTGTAGAAATGACTTTTCTTTTGTGAATTATCTTAGCCAGCTAGTGACAAGGCAGACAGCTTTCATCTCCACTGTCACTGCTCTTTTCTTCAGTGTACTGATATGAAAAAGAAAGTTGCTGTGGAGTTATTCCCAACTCATAGTGACCCCAAGTTTGTCAGAGAAGAACAGTACTCCATAGAGTTTTCAGTAGTAGATTTCTCAAAGCAGTGATGCTTGAGATAGAGGCAGAGACAATGACGTGGAGAGATGGAGCAGCTGGGGATTTTAGATACAGAGAGGGAGAGGGGCTGTGTGCTGACGTAGGGTGCAGGTCTGTAGTGTTTACCCTTTGGTTGGTTGATGATGCATGGAGGGGATTGTAACCATGGCAATGAAACGATATACCATAGGTTGAATGTAAAACTAATGTTCTCCCATGTAAACTATCACATAATTCACAATAAAACTTTTTTTTTTTTTTAAGTACATCTCTAAGCCTTTCTTCCAAAGTACCACGAGTGGATTCTAGCTTCCGAATTTTTGATTAGCAGCCAAACTCATTAACTATTTGTACCACACAGGGACTCGCTAATACTTTTATTTCAGCCGCACTTATTTGTGGGTACTGTTTACCATAGCATTTCTTGTCATTAGTTACTTGACCTTCAGAGTTTTTACTTTCTGTAACAGTTTATAAGGGAATTCGCTGGATTTGGAATACAGTCTGAATTTTTCTATATCCAGATAGAGAGTTCTACCTAGAATTGTTTGGACTGCCAAGTGCCATCCTCTCTCCCATCTCCATAGGAGAAATTCAGCAGGACATGGTGTAGTCTCTGATTTGTTTCTTCCAAGTGGGAGAAGGCTTGAAGGACTGTGGGGTGGGGCAACTTAACTGCTGACTTATCATTGTACGTAACTACCATGCACCCTCACAGAGGGTGCTTTTGTTCGTTAGTGCCTTGATGTAAGTTGCACTGGTCAGCCTTCTAAGCTATATTTAAGTAAACCACAAGTTTCTGTTAGTCTAATGATCAGTTTTGTTCATATCAATTTTTCTAACCATAAATTGAACTGCTGTGTGCAGAGGTCTCAACAAGGTATGCTAGGAAATGGAAAATACGAACTGTCCCATACCCATAAAGACATGGGGTGGTGGTGGTGGTTGTTAGGTGCACTGAGTTGGTATTGACTCATGGTGACTCTGTCTGTATCTTGTTTCTGAGGAGTGGCTGATGGGTTCAAACCTCTGATCTTGCCTCTAGCAGTCCAGTGTTTATCCTATAGCGCCACACCAGGACCCCTTAAGGAAGTTCTCAGTGGTGTTATTGTTAAGTGCTGTCAAGTTGGTTCCAACTCATAGCGACCCTCTATAGGGTTTCCAAGGAATGGCTGGTGGATTTGAACTGCCAGTCTTTTGGTGAACAGTCCAGTGATTATCCTGCAGCGCCACACCAGGAAGGTAGAACCTAATTAAAGAGAAGACAGCACCAAGAAAACACCTTGGAGTAGTCACAGATTAACAGAACGGTGCAGTGTTTGGAACAAGGGGGCCCACACAGATAGAGGTTCCAATCCTGACTCCTCCATTACCAGCTCTGTCATTGTGGGCTCCTCACAAGTCACTGAGCTTCATCTTTGTCGTCGTTAAGGTGAGGATAGATACAGTACCTGGCAGGAATAAAGACTAGTTTTGAAAAACTTTCTTTTTAAGGCACAGCACACTTTTTTCCAGAGTGTCTTCTGGAACAGCTGTTGGGATTGAAGGAGGGAAGGCAGGCAGAGGCCACAGTTAAGCCTGGTGCTTCGCGGCATCCCCTGAGGCAGCACTCAAGGATTGCTGCATAAAATGCATTGGCAGAGACTATAAAGTTCCTGAAAAAACTCCATTATCTTTTCATCCTGTTTTTCCAGGAACTTTCTGAAGCAACCTTGTAAATGCTGGGAAGATGCAGTAGGGTTGTTACCGAATGGAGGCCCTTAGAAACAGGTCCCTAAACATATCCAGTATTTTCTAGTTTTTTGCCCTAGGTTAAAACACCATTATCTATGTCTAGACAATTGCAATAGCTTTCTAACTGGTTTCCTCAGATCAAGTCTAACTGATCTGTTTTCTCTTCAACCAGTAAGATTAGGATTTTTCTCAAAACTTAAAAATGATTATTTCAAAAACAACAATGAAGTAACATCTCACCCCAGCATTAATAACAAAGTTGGGGAAAAAAAGCAAACAGATGCTGTCAGGGTGTGGAGAAACTGGGATCCTCCTACATTGCTAATGAGACTGTAAAATGGTTCAGCCACTATGGAAAACAGTATGGCACTTCTGCAGAAAGTTGGAAATAGCAACACCATATGACATAGCAGTCCCTCTACTTGGTATATATCCGAGCCAGGACACAAGTAGATATATGCACACCAGTATTCTTCACAACAGTGTTCACAGTAGCCCATCAATGGATAAACAAACTTTGGTACATACATACAATAGGATACGATATAGCGGTGAAGAATACGATGAACCTGCAAAACACCTTATAACATGCATCAGCCTGGAAAACGTTAAGTGCCTTCATGTCATTTCCAACTCATACCGACAACCCTGTATAGCATTTCCATGGAGCGGCTAGTGGATTTGAACCACCAACTTCTGCGGTTCAAACTGACCTTGCAGTCCAGTGCTTTATCCTACAGCACCATACCAGGGCTGCTGAGTGAAATTAGTCAATCACAAAAGGACAAATTACAAAAACTCAAGTAAGTGGTTTTCATATTAAAAGAAACATTACTAGCAATGGGAAGGAAGGGAAAGTAATTCCCGTAGGAATTACTCCTGTTCCTTTAACTAGAGGTTAGACACATGTTAAGAGGACACTATACAAGAAGAGAGGGAGTTAGGCAGGACAATGGTGAAGACACAGGGATGCAAGGGCTAAAGAGGATAGAATAGAGGTAAATAGTGATAAATACACAACCTTGGAACAACAGTGTCCTGCAGGTAGATTCATGGACAGACAGACTAAACGGGTATAGGAGAGAGAGTGGAAGTGTACCCACAGATGTGTAAGTGTTTGAAACGATATTTGTACACAGGTATTTACCTTTGCTGCAAACACAACTATGAATGTGGTGAAGCATTCACTGGGCAAAATGATGGAAACGTCTTATATATTATCAACTTCTTAAGGCAGTGGACCATAGTCTCAGGGACAATTGCATAATACAGTCCGCAAAAACATTGATCTACATCCTACTTTGGTGAGTAACATTTGGCATCTTAAAAGTTCATGAGTGGCCATCTAAGGTGCAACTATTTGTCTCTCCATGTGCAGAAGAAAAAAGAGTGATAAGAATTGAAGATGCTTGATATCAGTTAGTCCAGTAGACTAATGAACCCCATGAACTTCAGTCCCCACAACTCTGAGACCAGAAAAAAATAGATGGTGCCTGGCTGCCGCTACGAACTATTTGGAAAGGGACCACATCAGAAGGTCCTGGATAGCGTGGAAGAAAATGTAGAACAAAACTTAAAATTGTTTTTGAAAGACCGGACTTACTGGTCAGAAAGAAACTGAAAGAACCTGGTCCCTCAGCCACCCTTTAGGTCTGGAAAGGAACTCACCCTCATGGCTCAATTTCCAGCCAGGCAATAGATAGGTATATAAAGAGCACAACGCTAGTAACATATGCTCACCATGGAATGAATGGTCGGTCAATCATTCAAAATCAAGGAGGCAACGTTTGCCTAGGGACAGAGTTGGAGAAGGGATGGGAAGGTGGGAGGAATAGAAACAGGAAGCACGGGGAGGAAGTGTGCTAACTGTTGTTGCATGGAGAGGATTGCAATCATTGAGATGAAACAAGAGTGTACGATTTGTTTAATGTAAAACTGATGATCTTGTCTGTAAACCTTCACTTAATTCACAATTAAAGGTTAAAAACAGAATTCTATTTTTCTTTGCTTCTCATTGCTCTTGGATAAAATCAGAGCATAACTCCCAAGTCTTTCTTGACTTCCTCCCCTCTGCCCCTCCTCTCCCTTACTCAAGTCCCCTGCCTTTGCCCCACTGCTCTCGGTTCCCCACAGGTGCACTGTGTCGCCCCCACCGACAAGCCCTCTCCCCTTCCCCTTAATCCCTATTCATCAGGCTTCAGCTGAACTCTCCGTTAGTAAGGCTATCGCTTTCACCCTGCCACATTCGTCCTGGTACCCTGTACCTGCCCATCAGTGTACCTCTTCACACTTTATTGTAAATATTTCACTTCTCTCTTGCTCACTACAAAGTAAAGTCTGTGATGGCAAAGATTGTCTATTTTATTAAAGTGCTGTATCCCCAACCCCTAGCACCACCAGGCCTGGTAGATGCTTCCTGTGTTTGTTGAATAGACTTTGCATTTGTAATGTGTAGTTGTAGTGTAGTGGATATTATTGTTTTTAAGTGCCATTGAGTTGGTACCAACTCATAGTGACCCTGTGTAGGGTTTCTAAGGAGCAGCTAGTGGATTTGAACCCCCAGAAGGGGGTTGTTGTGGTTGGGTGCCATGGAGTCGGCTATTGTTGTGGTTGGGTGCCACATGGAGTCGGTTTCAGTTCCAATTCCTAGCAGCTGTGTATAGGATTTCTGAGGCTGTTAGTCTTTACAAGAGCAGAAAGCCTCATCTTGCCCCAACAGAGCAGCTGGTAGTTTTGAACTGCTGACCTTTGCAGTTAGCAGCCCAACTCACAGCCCACTATGCTATCAGGGCTCCATAGTGTATGCTCCTGTTGTTGGTAACAGCCATCGAGTTGGTTCTGACTCATAGAAACCCTGTACAGGGATTCCAAGGAGCAGCTGGTGAGTTTAAAATGCTGACCTTGTGGTTCAAACCAACCTTGCAGTCTAGTGCTTATCCTACAGGACCACACCAGGATACATTGTAGTGTATAGTGCCAGCTAAATGGGATGATTTCGCTTGAGTTTTTACTCATTTTTTTTTTCCCCTTCTTGGAACTTTCACATTTCAGACCTGCCGTGGGGCCCAAACAGCTGCAGCTGTATCTCCTCGAATCAAGAAATTTGCCATCTATCGGTGGGACCCAGATAAGGCTGGGGATAAACCTCGTATGCAGACTTATGAAATTGACCTGAATAAGTGAGTATCTCTGTGAGAGCCAGCTCTTTGATAAGTGAAGATGAGTTCTGGATCTGCTTCAGGCACAGGCTCCCCCAGTAGTTGTTGCAGTAGTAGTGGTTGTTAAGTGCCTGCAAGTCGATCCTGACCCATAGCGACCCTGTATAGGATTTCCAAGGAGCAGCTGGTGAGCTTGAACCGCCGACCTTGCAGTTCAAACGTCTTTGCAGTCTGACGCATTAGCCCACAGCGCCACACCAGGACTCCAGTAGTGGAAAGGCTCATTGGAATTTCCCATCTTTTTCAAACAACAAAGAAGAAGGTGCTTGAGTCAAAAAGATAATACCAAGAAAAATAACTTTGGTAAACTCCTTTTCCTTTCCCCAAAAAATGAAATTTTGACTCATATCCTAGGAGTATTATTAGCATTGCCATTATGCATTATATTTGAATGTTTTAGCACATTATCATTTTAAAATGCTGATTGTCTTCATGTCCATTTTCTGGATCTGGATCTGGATCTGTGTGTCCTATAATAGTAATAAACACCATAAACTTGGATGAGATGGTGAAAGGCCAACATTGGGATGTGGATAAAAATTATTCTGGACCTATGTATTCATGTTTTATTATTACCATAACAAATTTCCACAAACAGCGTATTTACATAAAAGTAAATTTTCTGAGATTTTTGAGGCTGCATTACATAGACTTATCACAAAACAAATGCTGGATATGCTAATATCTCTTTCTGCCTTCCCCCTCCCCCAGAAGAAGAAACCCTATTTGCAATTCTTTAGGTTGACCAAAACAAATACTTCTGTAGGTCTTTTGTAAACGTGAACTTTGGGGGAGGGAGGGCCAGTGTCCTGTATTACTACTGTATCATTGTGATACTTAGCAAAGGTACTTGTTTCCTGACCTATCTACAACATACACTACAGTGTGATCTTTTAGAATGTCTAGTAGTCTGTCCTTAGTTCAGCATTCTCATCAGTGACTTGTAAAAGACATAAAAATTATATTTAACAAATTGGTGTATGACATAAACCTGATGTCAGTTACTCACTACTGAATCATACGAATCTTATCCCCATCTCCTTTCACCAGACCCATCTAGACAAGCTGAAAACTATTCAGTGGGGACCTATATAGTCTTTTGAAGTTCAAAAAGCTCTGCAAAGTAGAACCTGAAGAACAGGATCTGAAAAATGTGTCTTAGGAGAAATTTTGAATGATGTTTAGCCAGTTAGAAGAGAAGACTACCCAGATATCTAAAGAGTATGTAGAGGAGGAAATGGACTTAGCCTGTGGCTGCCTACCTCTAGAGAAATAATGAATCAGAGACGTTACAGAGAGACAGGTGTTCATTTAGTGTAATTCAAGTTTACCTGCTTGGAGTCCTGGTGTGGCGCTATGGGTTAATGTGCAAGACTGCAAGGTCAGTTTGAACTGCAAGGTCGGCAGTTCAAGCTCACCAGCTGTTCCTTGGAAACCCTATGCAGGGTTGCTATGGGTCGGAATCAACCCAACGACACTTAACAACAAAACAACAACAAATTATCTGCTTAACAAGGAAATACATATATACTCTCTCCTACACAAAAATGTCCCTTTTCCATTTTAAATTTCAAGCATCCATACCTTAGCGGTTTCTCAGGAATTCCACATGTAGAAGAGGGTAGAGGAGAAGGTAGTGAGCTAGGCTCTAGCCTCACTACTCCACCCCAGCACCCCCAATAAAACCAGAACTGCTCTCTGATACATTTTGGTTGTATTTATTGCATTTGAACAAAAGCTTCTGTAGTACCAAAAAGAGTGTGAAAATCACTGATCTGTATTTTTGGACTTACTTTGTCAACACAGAAATGTTATTAATAAAGTAGAATTAATTGATGTGTGTTATACTTTGTCTCCTCATATACCTTTTTCTCAAATAGACAAAATTATCAAATGCTCAGTGACCTTCATTTGTAAAATTCAAGGAAATGAAAATAGTAAAGGCTACATTTTCATAACCATTTGACCAAGGGAAATATTTTTTTTAAATTATGTTGTTGTTTAATTACCATCGAGTCTGTTCCAACTCATCGTGACCCAGTATAGGGTTTCCGAGGAGTGTCTGGTGGGTTTGAACTGCCAGCCTTTAAGTTCAGTGCTTTAATCTACAGCGCCACACCAGGATTCCAAATACATATATTTAGAAAGTGAAAACACTGTAGTCAAAACTTTACAGGCTATGACTAAAACTAGAAGCATTCAAATCGTAACTCTTGTTTGTTTGGTTTTTTTAATGATAAAAAAATGAAAGTGTGTTTATGTCTGTTCCAGTAACAGCAGAGTAACTTGCATCTGACTGTTGTTGTTGTTTATAGTGACCCTATATAAGGTTTCTGAGGAGTAGCTGGTGAGCTTGAACCACCAACCTTGCGGTTCAAACAGCTTTGCACTCTGGCATTAACCCCCAGTGCCACACCAGGACTCCTTCATCAGACTACTCTTCTATAAATAACTATGAACAGCTCTGGACAAAAGAGAAAAAACAACTGCCTGAAGACACTTGGGAGTGGCCAAGTATAGATTCATACTGGTGGGAAGTTGTCGCTTGAAAGAAAGTAAACTTCATTGGATGAGTAAACTGAGGGCAGGCCCCATTTGGTATAGACAGTTGTTGTTGTTGTCAGGTGCCATCGAGTCAGAACCGACTCATAGCGACCCCATGCACAGCAGAACGAAACAATGTCTGATCCTGGGCCAACCTCACTACCGCTGCCACACTTGAGTCCATCAATGATGCTACCTGGCCAATCCATCTCGTTAGGGGTCTTCCTCTTTTTCTCTGACCCTCCACCTTACCCAGCATGACATCCTTCTCCAGTGACTGTTCCCTCCGGACAATATGTCAAAAGTATGAGAGATGAAGCTTAGCCATCTTGGCCTCCAAGGAGAACTCTGGCTGCACTTACTTCCAAAACAGATCTATTGGTTCTTTTGGCAGTCCATGGCACTTTAAGTATTCTCCTTCAAAACCACAACTCAAAGGCATCAATTTTTCTACGATCTTCCTTATTCACTGTCCAGCTTTCGCATCCATAGGAGGTTGTTGAAAATACCATGGCTTGGGTCAGGCGCACCTTAGTCTTCAAGCTGACATCTCTGACAACTTCAATCTTTTCTCCATTGATAAGAATGTTGTTTATTGGTCCGGTGGTGAGGATTTTTGTTTTCTCGACATTCAGATGTAACCCATACCGAAGGTTGTGCTCTTTGGTATAGACTGTACCTGGGCTAAAACTTAGATAGAAAACCACAGTCTTAACAGTTTGAGGAATCAGAGATTACTTTTTGGGGCTGTCATTGCAGCTGGAAATTGAGAAAATCATAGAAGAGAACCACAAAAGGAGAACTTAAAAAATTCTGTGTATGAACTCTACCTGCATCTGAATTCAGCAATATTTATTGCCTGCTTGTGAAGAACTTGTACATAGACCAGGAGGCAATGGTTTGAACAGAACATAGGGATACTGAATGATTTAAAATCTTGAAAGGTATGTGGCAGTGTTGTATTATTTCACCATATTTATTCAATCTGTGAAGTCCTGGTATGGTGCTATAGGTTAATGCACTGGACAGCAAGGTCAGTTTGGACTGCAAGGTCAGCGGTTCAAGCTAACCAGCTACTCCTCAGAAACCCTGTGCAAGGCCACTATGAGTCAAAGCCGACTCAGCGGCACTTAACAACAACAACAGTGCAGTCTGTATTCTGAGCAAATAATCCAAGAAGGTTGTATTATATGAGGAAGAATGTGGCATCAGGATTGGAGGAAGGTTTATTAACAACCTTGCTTGCTGAAAGTGAAAAAAACTTAAAATACTTACTGATAAAGATCAAAGATCACAGCCTTCAGTATGGATTGCACCTTAATGTAAAGGAAACAGAGATCCTCACCACTGGACCAATACATAACATCCGTATAATTGGAGAAAAGAATTAAGTCATCAAAGACTTCATTTTGCATAGATCCACCATCAACACTCATGGAAGCAGCAGTCAAGAAATCAAATGACATATTGCATTAGGCAAATCTACTGCACAAGACCTTTTTAGAGTGTTCAAGAGCAAAGATGTCACTTTGAGGACTAGGATGCGCCTGACCCAAACCATGGTATTTTCAATAACCCTATATGCATGTGAAAGTTGGACAGTGAATAAGGAAAACCCTAGAAGAATTGTTGCATTTGAGTCATGGTGTTGGAGGAGAACATTAAAGGTACAAACAAACAAATCTGTGTTGAAAGACATACAACCAGAATGCCCCATAGAAACCAAGATGGCCAGACTTCATCTCTCATACTTTAGACATATTATCAGGAAGGATCAGTTCATGAAGGACATCATCTGAGTAATGTGGAGGGACAGCAAAAAAGAGGAAGAGTCTGGGGAAATAGATTGGTACAATGGCAGCAACAGTGGGTTCAAGCGTAGCAGCCATTGCGAGGATGGGCAGGACCGGGAGGGCTTTCATTCTGTTGAATATTGGGTCTGAACCGATTTTACAGCACCTAACAACAAAGGAATCCTGGTGTGGTGCTGTGGGTTAATGCGCCAGACTGTTTAAACTGCAAGGTCAGCAGTTCAAGCTCACCAGCTGCTCCTTGCAAACCCTACACAGGGTCGCTAAGGGTCGGAACTGATTCACTTAGCAACAACAATAGAACTAAAAGTTCAGCACTCTTCAGAGGACCTTATTACAATCTAGAGTCTCTATAGTGTGTAATACACAGTGTCCAACACATGTTCCAACATCACTAGTCCGTGTGAAGAAACAATGAGCTGCGGCCTATAATCAAGTAAAGAAAACAGTTAGAGATGGACTCTGAAGTGACTCCGGTGTTGGGGTTAGCAGACAAGGACTTTAAAGCAATTACTATGTTGTTGTTAATGCTATCTAGGTGACTCATAGCAACCCTATGTAGAGTTTCTGAGGAGTGGTTGGTGGGTTTGAACCATCTACCTTGAAATTAGCAGTCAGTGTTTATTCCACAGCATCACATCAAGATAACTATCCTCAAAGGAAAGTATGCAGAGAAATATACACTACTAGAAAAAGAATCAAATGAAAAATATACCTGAAACAATTCGCTGTGTGAGTTTCACAGATTAGAAATGGCAGAAAGAAGATTTGGTAAATTGAAAGATCAATAGAAATAATATGTTCTTAAAGACAGAAAAAAAGCTTCTTCATTCATCTATGGGAGTCCTGGTGTAGCACTGCAGGTTAATGCGCTAGACCGCGAAGTCGGTTTGACCCACCAGCTCACCAGCCAGTCCTCAGAAACCCTATACAGAGTTGCTATGGGTTGGAACCAACTCTGTGGTACTTAAAAACAACAACATGGGAGTCCTGGAGTGACACTGTAGGATAGATAAACACTAGACTGCTATCCTCAAGATTGGCGTTCAGACTCACCAGCTAATCCTCTAAAACCCTATACAGGGTCCTATGAGTTTAAATGTACTTGATAGCACTTAACAACAACAACAACAATGGAATAATATCAAAAGGTCTAAGATACAAGTAATTGGCATAGATGGTAAAATAGGGCAGACAGTATATGTGAAGAATATACTGCTACACTTAAACCCACTGTTGCTGCCACTGTGCCAATCTGTGAAGGACCATGAATTTCCCAAGCTTTTTGAAAGACACAATTTAAATATTCAAAAAGTTTAGTGAACCCCAAGCAAGATCAGCACTGGACTGCAAACTACAGGTCCACAGTTCAAACCCACCAGCTGCTCCTTGGTAACCGTCTGCAGGGTTGCTATGAGTCAAAATTGACTCGACGGCACTTAACAACAACAACAAGCAGGATAAATACAAAGAAAGCTATAACTGAGTACATCATAGTCAAGACCTTAGAGAAAGTCTTGAAAGCAGTTGAAGAAAAACCACACATTCCATACAGGTGAATGATCAACAAGAACAATGATCTCTGGCTTGTCATTAGAAACTCAAAACCAGAAGACAATGAGTTAGCATCTCAATGTCCTTCTAAAGTAAAACACTGTCTACCCAGAATTCTGTACTCAGTAAAAAGTTTCTTTAAGATGAAGATATTCTCAGAAAAACAAAAATAAAGAATTTGCATGCTCCAGGAAAGTGTAGGGTTCATTCAGGCTAAAGAACAGTAACACCAGGGGGAAACTCACCTCTTTGGGAAGATGGCAAACATCCGGAACGGTAAGCATCTGGGTGTCTTCATTAACTGTTGCTGCTGTAGCACAATACAGACAACAAGAGGGTGGCTTTAAAGAACAGAAACTGTTTTCTTCCAAGTGCCGACACTTTTGCCAGTACACCACTGCCCCATGTGCCCCTGAACCCAGAGTGACCTGAGTTAGGGGACTTCAGTGACTGACTGACTTCTTGTCTCTGTTACCCGTTTTCTGTTCTGGCTCTGTAGTACTTAATTATCAAGTAATCACGTAAAGCTATGTATTGTCTCTTTATTGCTGTTTAATGTCTTCAAGTCGGTTCCAACTTATAGCTACCCCTGTATAGGATTTCCAAGGAGCGGCTGGTGAGTTTGAACCACCGACCTTGTGTTTCTAACCAACCTTGCAGTCCAGTGCTTTATCCCACAACACCACACCAGGACTCCGTGTATTGTGTAGATCCTAAAAATAGAAGTGAAATTTGAAATGAAATATTAGGGGAAACTTCAGGGATTTTTAAAAGAAGTAGAAACTTGTATGGAAATTGTTTTCTAGCCTAAATTAATTCTCTCTTTAGCATTCCATTTCTTACCAGTGTATATGCAGTGTAATCATTTAAGGAGAACTTTGCAGTACTTAACAGTTGTAAAATTGTGCAAAAATAAAACAATGAGTAAAATTGGCCTGTGACCTGCAAGACAGCGATTTGGATGAGTGCAGCTGATAGATCCAGATGTCTCCATCGAAGTAGGATCAGCTACAGGGAGCTTAAACTTGACACAAATGTAATTTAGCTTTTTTCTTTGTCAGGTGTGGCCCTATGGTATTGGATGCTTTGATCAAGATTAAGAATGAAATTGATGCTACCTTGACCTTTCGAAGATCGTGCAGAGAAGGTAAACTTGTCCTTCCCACTAGGCCGAGGACACTTATGCTCTGGTTCTCTGCCAGGCAAGTCATGCTTCCTTGTCTTTGGTAAAAGTGTCTGAAATGCAGGTTTGGTTTCTGAGTTTACTTCTCTTTGGGAACTTTGAGGCTCTGCTGCCTGATTACTGTAACTGACAGACCCTGTGAACCTCTGCGCCCTTCCAGGGCCGCCTCAGATCTCTCCTCCGGCCCCACTCTGCACTGCCGACCTCATGTACAGTGGAGCAGTGGGCAGTTTCTAGCTGGTCATTACACACAGAGGGCATACCCCTCTAGTTCCCAGCATTCTGTATGCACACAGCAGCTGCTCAGGAGCTACCTTCCCACAGTGTAGTCACAGGTGCTGATGGAGCCATGTGACGTGGTGGCTGTGGCAGTGCATACCCACATGTCCTATTTTAGTAACTAGACAGATGAACTGCTCTTCTTAGCCACATGGCCCTCTCAGGTCACATGCAGATTTTTTCCACTTTTATTTTTGCACTTTCTTACAAACAAAACTGCATAGTTCCATTTTAATGATCATATTATAATCTTACATATTTAAAAAACAACATAACTACTAATTGCAACCTTGCTTGCTGAAAGCAAAGAGGACTTAAAATACTTAATGGTGAAGATCACCTCAATGTAACGAAAACAAAAATCCTCACCACTGAACCAATAAGTAGTAACATCATGATAAATGGAGAAAAGATTTAAGTTGTCAAAGACTTCATTTTGCTTAGATCCACCATCAACACTCATGGAAGCAGCAGTCAAGAAATCAAATGGAGTTTTAGGCAAATCTGCTGCACAAGCCCTCTTTAAAGTGTTCAGAAGCTGAGATGTCAGTTTGAGGACTAAGGTGTGCCTTACCCAAGCCATGGTACTTTCAGTAGCCTCGGATGCATGTGAAAGTTGGGCAGTGAGTTAGGAAGACTGTAGAAGAATTGATGCATTTGAGTTATGGTGTTAGAGAAGAATATTAAAAGTTACCATGGACTGCCAGAAGAGCAAACAAATCTTTGTTGAAGGAGGTACAACCAGAATGCTCCTTAGAAGCAAAGACAGCCAGACTTCGTGGCTCATATTTCGGACATATTATCAGGAGGGACCAGTCCCTGGAGAAGGACTTCATGCTTGTTAACCTGGATGGTTTGAGAAAAAGAGGAAAACCCCAATAAGATGGATTGGCACTGTGACAGCAACAATGGGCTCAAGCATAGCAGCTATTGTGAGGATGGCGTAGGACCAGGCGGTGTTTCATTCTGTTTTACGTAGGGTCACTGTGGGTTGGAATCAATGTGCCTGCACCTAACAACAACAGTGACAATGCAGCAGTGATTTGAGTGGTGTCTTTTTGGGTTTTTTAGTATGATTTAAGTAAAAACAAGGTGATGAGAAGTAAATAGTCATTTGAGTGATATTCAGATGAGGCAGAAACTCTACAGGGCTGCCATGAAGACAGGGACAGTGGTGGCCCTGGAGCAGACCATTGGGAGCCCTGTTCTCAACGCTTTACAGAAGCTCAATAGATGCTGGTATTGTCTATCCCCCTTGTACAGGACATCTGGTATGGTGCTGTAGGATCAGCACTTGACTGTGAACCACAGGGTCAGCAGTTCAGACCTACCAGCTACTCCTCAGAAACCCTATTACAGGATCACTGTGAGTCAGAACTGACTCAGCAACACTTAACAACAACAAAAATGTACAGATGAGGAAACCTAGGCCCAGGGAGGGTACGGGTCTTACACTAGGACACAGAAATTCTGAGTTTGGGAACCAGGGGTCAAATCAAAGCATTCAAACTCCAGACTGGTACTTGGGTAAAACACTCTCACCCAGACTTGAAAATCAGGAACTGAGGATAACTTGGGCGCCCCAAGAACCATGGGAAATTTTTCATCTTAAAATAACCTTCCAGTAAAAGGAAGGTCACTATACATGTTGGCCTATCACTTTTTTAATTGGTCCTGCTGCATACTAAAGCTTTTTAAGTCCTACTTGTAAGACATTTGGCTGACCTTACAGGAATGGGAGAGTGTGGTAAATGCTGCCGGATACCATGGTGGTTCCTCTGAGTCTTGCTGTTTAGGGAACATTCTGCTCTAATTCACCACCTGCCTTCCCCGTGCAAGTCCTGGCACCTCAGGAAATAGAGACCTTCTCCTGCAGGATCCTCTCAGAACCAAGAGCATAAGATGTGGTCCATCTGGATTAAGAAATAGGAGGCAGAATTATATTAATCACCACTCTTCTTTGTCCCCTTATGATTTGTTTTTCAGGGAAGCCGTTTTAAGAGAAAGATCATTAGATTTATTGTTTAAATTATATGTCATTTCTTAAAAAAGCACATGCTGCTTTGGTTGGATACTAGGAGTACATAGATTTATTGATGATATTCTGTCACTTGGGGAACATTAGGAGGAATATTTGCTTGAGACAGACTTCCATGTTGTCTCACATTCTTATTAAGATGGTTAGAAGAAGCAGGAGAGAATATGGTTTAAAAAATTGAAAACACCCAGTGCAGGTTTCACAAGTGATCAGATTTCTCTGGCCTGATCGTTTTCAAAAAACAGCTTCAAAAATGTGGTCCCATAGGATTTAGATTTGCATTGTCATTTTTAAACTCTGAAACAACTAGTAAATAAGTCCATGCTAAGAAAATTGGCATTTCAGGGCCCTTGGTAAGCACCATAGTTTTGTTTTGTTTGGATTTTAATGCCTTGAATTCATTCTTCTTCTTGGGAAGTCATTCTCAGTCAACTGAATGTAGATCCATATCCCCAGACTGCTAGCTCACCACTCCCCTGCTTAGTTTCAGAGAGAGAAAAAGAGCTTTCTCTTGATCATCTACAGCCAGGCCTCATCCTTAGATGACCCAAAATAATGTTGATTTGCTTTTGAGTATTGTATATTTTATGGTCTAGGTCCAAATAACAGTGACTTTCAAGCAATGGAGATTTCTTTTTCTTTGTAAATACCTCAAAGGGTGAAAGCGGAACTGCTGTGGGAAGTTGATGACGTCAGCAGCACCACAAGCCCCTGAACTTGTAGCCTCTAACCTCAAGACTGCCTCCTGACCACACACTAGTGTCTGGAGCGTCTGCCATCCTAGCCACATTCCAGGCAGGAAGGAGGAGGAGAGGCAAGCAGGCACTTAGGCCAACAGTGTATTCCATGTCAGCGCTGCTCTTCCTGGGCAGTACCGACGGTACACAAGGAAGCCCTGGCAACTGGACTGTGTCCGTGGGAGTGAGGAGTTGGACATGCTTTCTCTGTTTCAGGCATCTGTGGCTCTTGTGCAATGAACATCAATGGAGGCAACACCCTAGCTTGCACTCGCAGGATTGACACCAACCTCAATAAAGTCTCAAAAATCTACCCTCTTCCGCATATGTACGTGATCAAGGATCTCATTCCTGTGAGTTTCTGCAGCGCTCTCTTTTTTTTTTAATTTCACACTCACGTGTGTGTGTGTTATACTGTCAGTTCTTTAGAGCAGGCTTTTTTGTTTATTTAAAGCTACTCTTTTAGTCAGAAGGTTAGAGCAATTTAATGGGCCTCTCTCCCTGGCATGAAGAAACCCACAGTGTCATTCTGAGGGTTATAAAAACCCCTAGAGCTGAGGCAGCGTGGCCAGAGCTTAATTAAAGCTGTTGAATGGTGGAAGATAAACACACTTAGAAGATCCTCCAACAGCTCATTTGGTGAGGTTTGTTTGGGAATAACAGGTCACAAAGTTTTAGAGTTGGAACAGTCCCCAAAATTAATTTGGCCATCGCTACAAAGAACTCATGTGAAAAATAGCAATTAGGAAAGCAGTTGTTATTTATGAGTTTTACTTCCATTTCTGCCTCCCGGTGTTTGACCCTCCTCACTGACTTGGGGCTTCCAAGAGTGGGTGTGCAATCCAGAAAAGACTGGGATTGTAACATGTTCCCGACCTTGTGTAACATTGTGACCATTTCTCCTTTTGTATCTTTGCATGTATTATACCAGAGTAAGCAAGACTGACTTCTGTCTGTCTTAGAGCAGGACAGTAGGCAGGGTCCAAAACACAGGGCACATAAGAAAGCTTAGAGTTGATTGTGGAATCTGACCTTTATTTCTTCCTCCTCCAATTAATTCCAGGATTTGAACAACTTCTATGCTCAGTACAAATCCATCGAGCCTTATTTGAAGAAGAAAGATGAATCCCAGGAAGGCAAGCAACAGTATCTGCAGTCCATAGAAGATCGTGAGAAACTGGTCATTAGTCCCCATTTGTTATCTCGATGTTCTCTTAGACTCATACTGACCTGAGTTGTTTCATTATACTGATGCTTGCCTGGAGTGTGGTTTGGGGTACCTGCATGAGGTGATGCAGACCATTTTTGTATGTTTTCTGGCTTGTTAGAACTGGGCAGGAACTTCAAGAGCATCTAGCCCAAGGGTATCAACAGCCATCCTGACATCCATAGGCGGAAGTGTGAGCTCATGAAGGGCCCAGAGTGGACCAAGTCACTGATGCCTCCATGCCTTGCCTAGAAGGGCAGATCGTCGCTGTATTGCCAGATAATTCATCTCTTTCAAGAGAGGGTGGCTAAGTCAATCATTCTTTTACACACTGTGGGGTGGACAAAAGAAAATACATCTGCAGTGTCTACCACCACCCTCTTTTACAAACAGAAGGGAAATAGGGAATGGCCAACCTTGATGTTCTTTGCTAATACCACACTCCTGGTAGGTGGTATGTAGGATTGTCCTGGGGCCTGCCCACTCTCAGGACTGCTGCTCCTGTGTGTACAGGCTGTAAAGGCATTTCAGGGACAGTCATTGACAAGCTTTAGTCCCCTTCTCCACTCCGTTCACCTCCGTTCCCATTGTCACTCCCTGCACACTCAGCAGGCTGGTAGAAAGGAAGAGGGGGGATGTGGGACTGGAGCCCCGACTATGTGCCTGGCACAGGGCCAGCGTCAGCCTCGCAGACCTCCTCACAGGTACCACTCTGTGTGTGCTTCTGAAATAGCACGTGTCCTCAGATTGCCCTTTCCCTGGCTGTCTGTTTGGCAGACCAAGGGCAGGTGCAGGGACAGGGCTGTCTTCCTCCTCTCTGGATCCCTAGTCCCTGGGACATGTTACTGTACCCAGAAGTATTGGTTGTGTGAATGAATTGATGAAGTCTATCTTTTATGTCTTGGGAACTGTTAGCATCCTCTCCTCTACCCCGTAAAAGTTGCCCAGCTCTGTCATCCTGTCAGTGGAGAGTCAGTACAGTGATGTTCCAACCTCACTTCTGACTCCTCTTTCAGGAGTTTCTGGTTTCCAGAACATAGCTCCGCCCCAGCAGGTCTAACTTCCAGAGTGTCGTATGCATTCATGGAGCCCAGGGTGAGCTGACCACCGAGCCCTCTAGTCATCTCACATTCTAAGTCAGGCTAAGACTGAACTAGTATGCTATTACTAGGAAATGTGGAGTCCCCAAGTGTGCTTTCTAGTCATCAAAACGTGCTCACTTATATACCAAACCTCTTTTTAGCATTGGTGACTTCCTTACATTAATATGCTAAACAGAGCTGTTTTCCATGATTATAAAGGCCATGGTGCTCATTGTAGAAAATTGAAAAACAGAAAACTGTTTAAAGTAATCTATAATTCTACAACTCATAGATGGCCTCAATTAACATTTCTAATTTCCGTTTTTCTATATGTTGTGGATGTCATATATATTTCATTATATTTTTACAGAGCTCGGATTAAAACGTAAATGTACTTTTTATATCCTGCCTTTTTCCTTCATGTTATTGTGAACATTTTCTTCATAAGCTTTCATGAAACTTGACTGATAGTACTTCAGATGTGGGCACCAGCCATGGGATAGCCAGTCCACTACTGGTGGACAGTGAGGTGGTTTCCCGGTCTTTAACGTGTTCTTCAAGTCCTGCCAAAAATATTGAATCTCTTGTTAAGATTTTTCTAGAAGTGGGTTAAAGACTCTGACGGTGATTTCAGGTTCTAGTCAGTGGAGCCAGACTCCCCTCCCCTGTAACTGACGGAGGAGTTCCTTGAAGAGTCCAGGTTCAGTCATGGCCACCAGCTCGGTCTGCTCCTGCACTACTGCCTTTCACCTCTCGTGTCAGTGGGCACTTCTGCCGTCCTGCTTTTCTTCAGTTTCTACTGTTCCCAAAGTCGGGAGTCAGCGTGGCCATCATTAAAGAACAGGGGTTCCAGAGTCAAAACACCTGGGTGCCATCCCAGCTCTGCCATGGTGTGACCCTGGGCAAATAACCTGAGGAGCCTCGCTGGGCCCTAATCCCTAAAATGGGAGTCAGCAGTAACTCTCCTGATAGGTTATGGCGATGCCCATAGGAGATACGTATGTACAGCACACGGTGCCCGGCTGGGCCCAGCTGTCTCTGAGGACTTGTTCGTGTCCTCTGCTGAGCCAAGCATGATGCTTCAGTTCCCAGGGCTCCTCACTTTTTCCTCTCATGACTGAGCTGGGGTAGTTTCTCTTACTGTTTCTGTTCATGGTTCTCTTTTAAGATAAGTGAGGGGTTATTGTTTATGAAAGGGTGGGTACATTGGACTTGCGCTTCAGAATCCTGGGCTCCAATCCAGCAGATGTTTACATTTCAATCCCAAGATCTTTTTATGAATCTGATAAATCTGTGTGTTTGTTGAACTTGCCAAGAAGCTCAGCTAGAGTGCTCGCGCTGTCTGTGCTCCAACCCTCATATCACATTAACTGCGAACGTGCCACAGCCGTCCCTGGCATGCTCCTGACCCTCCCTCTCCACACAGGACGGGCTCTACGAGTGCATTCTCTGCGCCTGCTGTAGCACCAGCTGCCCAAGCTACTGGTGGAATGGGGACAAGTACCTGGGACCTGCGGTCCTTATGCAGGTAAAGTGCTCCTTCATTGCTCTAAGAAAAACTGCAGCCATCAGAGAGACTCAAGAGGGCCATGTGTTGTTGCAGACCAGCCGTTCTAAGGGCAAGCTTGCCTTCAGCCGCGTCTAGTGCAAGCAAGGCAGTCGGGTACATTTTCTTCACTTGGTAAAGTGAGGACCGTATCTACAGTGCACCTTTGTGCAGTTAAGCTCAGGATCATGTTAAGTGACAGCTCTGCTAATCAGTTCCTGGTTTCCCAGGCCTATCGCTGGATGATTGACTCGAGAGATGACTTCACCGAGGAGCGCCTAGCCAAACTGCAGGACCCCTTCTCTCTGTACCGCTGCCACACCATCATGAACTGCACCAGGACCTGTCCCAAGGTACCTCAGAACTGCCATGTCACCAAGAGGTGTTGGCAGCAGGCCTGGTCATTTGAGTGGGAGGAGCCAGTGTGAGCCTCAGGCCGAGCTTGTTTTCTAGTTGCAGGGAACAGATTCACTCACACAGACCACCTCAGGAGGAGGGTTTACTTGTAGGGTACACTTGGCATTGAGAGAGGCAAAGATGCCAAGGATTCCATGCACAGGAACCTGAGTTCAGCCTGACTTCAGTGGAACCAGAAGGCAGAAGGCTTCAGAACACAGACAGCTGTGGTGACTGGATTCTCTGTCTCTGCCACAGTGTCCGTTCTCTTGAGCAGCCAGCTTGTTCTTTCCTTCTACTCTGTATCTCTTCCTTGTCTCAGCACCTGCTTACCTGGCTTTCATCCCTTCGTCCTACTCATGCTTGCTTTGGCTCACCCTGGCCTGGACCCTTCAGCTTCATCCTCCTGCCTGCCCTCATTTCTTAGCTCGGATTCCTGAAAGGGAACGTAATTGGCCCAGCTCAGCTTTTCTTACCAGCCTACATCAGAGGTTGGTGGCCAGCTTATGGACTGGTGGCTGTTGGATCAGGTACCAAGCCTGGTCCAGCCAGCCTTGGCCAGTGCAGGAAGGAGCCAGAGTCACGTGGCTCACCACATGACTGCCTGTGGGCCGCCCTTTGAACAGAAACTATGGGCAGAGCAGTTTCACTCAGAAGGCACAGTAAGCAGACGGTAAGATGGAAACCTCTAGAATAACCAGTTCATAGTGTGAAGAAGAATGGCAGCACAGCTTTAAAGACAGGAAATCCAAGCTGGGTGACAGTCTGTTTCTTGCCTGGAAACCAGTGGTGTGTCCTTTACCCCCACCCTGTGACATGGAGCACCACATCTGTTAGAACGTCAGGATCAGCTCTGGGCCTAGTGGGCGAGAACACGGACTCCGGTGTCTTTGTGCCTGGGTTTCCATCCAGGCTCTTCCCCTAATAAATTCGGTGACTGCTGAGACAGGTTTCTCCACTAACACATTTAGGACCATGCAGGACACATAACCACCCGTTACCTTTTTAAACACAGGTGCTGGGCCTGTTTAGCCCAGCTGGAGACAGTATCTCTAAGGCTGGGGCCTGGCTTATGTGTTTCTTTAAAAGCTCCACAAGCGGTTTGGAGGTACATTCCTGGTCAGAAACCTTTGTATGGAGGAGGGCGGCAGAGGCAGTAAAGACTACACAGGTTTTCTGGACCTCCCCCTACCTTCCCACGAAACAGGGATGAAGGTGGGCAGTGAGACATAGGTTCACATCACTAAAGGTGAAGAGACCATTGTTTTCCAGGGAGCGGAACTAAGACCCAAGTGGGGTTACCCTCAGGCTAGGGGCAGAGCTGCCTGCCCGCCCCCTGCCCCAGAGTGCTTTCCTCCAGGCCCTGAGCTAGCCATTCTCGTGTCTAAGACCAAAACCCTTTTAATGAACTTGTTTTAGTGACATGGTTCAATATCAGTCGGATATACTGAGAACATCTCCATCCTAGACCATTCCTGAAGCGGCTGGTGCTCTCACCTTCCTGGGTGTCCTTCCAGATTCCTTCTATGCATGCACAGCTTTGGTTTTTATGTAAATGATTGCCCACTCTAGACATGTATATCTTTGTGTTTGTTTCTTTTTTTTCATTTAACATATTTTTTGGAGCTCATTCCCTATCAATACCAGTTTTCTCCCACTATCCAAAAGTAAAGCATGCCTGTGAAACCTTTTATAAACCAAATGGCACAAAGTGAAGACACAGTTACCATTCATTTATATGGGAAACATTATTGAGCATTCCCAGACCCAAAATACAGCCTACCAAATAACACAGAAAACTTAAAATAATACTAGCATATAGTAGAAGTCTTGGTATGGCACTGTAGGATAAGCACTGGACTGTTAACTACAAGGTCAGTGGTTCAAACCCACCAGCTGCTCCACAGAAACCCTATAGAGTCGCTGTGAGTCAGTGGCACTTCACAACAACCATATTGTAAAGTAAAAGCGAGACTGATGGATAAATTATAAAGTAGAAATAATGTCTGCACAGTGACGTTCCTAGGGAGGAGCTGGGTGACTCTAGTCTCGCAGCTCCGAGTACACACTGCCTCTCCATGTCTTAATGCAGAGCAGCTGCTGGGGGCTAGCTTCCCTTTACCTTTTTTGTTATAGAAGCAAAAACTCTAGATTTCTGTTAACTAGCAAAAACAGTTACTAATGTAGGTCTTCATCCAAGCAAAGTGGCAAAAAGGGAACTTTCTAAAAACCATGTATGAAATGTCTTGTCAGTCTGCCTCTCCCTGCCATGCTCCCCATGCCTTGTTTTCCTTTTTTATAACATTTTAATTTTTGCTAAAGTCATTCTTCTCAAATGAGGAGACAGTTCTCTAATTTCAAGTGAGTCTTTGCTTAATTTTGCCAAATGCTTGCTTGCTCCCTTCCTCCTCCTATATGCCAGGCCCTGAGCTAGCCATTCTCGCATCTAAGACCAAATCCCTTTTAATGAACTTGTTTTAGTTCCATGGTTCAATACAAACAGTGAGTCTGGCATTCGCTAGGTTTGCTTATCATGCCTCCTATAGAACAGATGTTACAGCTGCAGGTGCCAGTGCTACTATCAGAAGGGTTGACAAGACAGTGTCTTCCACTTTCCTATGAGAGCTGATTTCTGCTGGTACTGATTTAAGAATGATGGTACCAATGTGAATTTCTGGTTTGTTCAACATTTCCAGCTGTCTGTATCATTTCAGCTTTGGCCTGTAGACATAGAAGGAATGCTGTACTCAGACATCTTAGGGCAGTCAGAAAAGTGCCTCTGCCTTGAACTTTGACCTACTAGAGTAAGTCATGCCAGAAGGATGTCAGCGTGTCAGGGCTCTTGGCAGAGATAGCTGAGCATGCTTAAATGTCTAAGAGTAGGGACAGAAGAGCTCTTAGCCCAAGTCCCTTCCCTTGGTTTTTAGAGACTTGGTGTGCATTGACATTGCTTTGCCATTGTACCAGCTGGTGGAGTGTTTTCACCTAAGGCCAGAGTTCTTCTGCTCCATTTCCGTTATCATGTGGTACTGATTCACCTCTCTTTTGTCAAGGGTCTGAATCCAGGGAAAGCTATTGCTGAAATCAAGAAAATGATGGCAACCTACACGGAGAAGAAAGCTTCAGCTTAGCTGTTTTCATACTTTTCTTTTCCCTCTATAACTTGTAACCAACTCACAGCTGAATATAATTTATATCTCATTTGACCTCCTTCAGGGTCTTGATTTTCCATGAATACAGCATGTATAATCAAACATTTTAAGAAATAAATCAATGTAATTCTACTTTACTAACAGAAAAGCAAGCCTCTTCCTTTGACTTGCTGCAGAGCAGTGAAGGCGCCAGGAGAGGTAAACAGGACTCCGGAACGGAGCCACCTGGGGTGGGGTGTCGTGGGGGATCTACAGATAGGACCTGGCGCTTGTGCCCAGCTCTGCCACTCACCAGCTGGCTGACGTTAGACAAATGTCTTTGCTTCTTTATTCTCTGTTAGCCCATCTGTAAAATAGGAGTCATAATTGTCCTTATGACAAGTGTGTGAGAATACTTTAACTTATTCTAAGTGCTTAGTAATTGTTAGCTATTATTATCATCTGTTGTTGTTGAGTGCCATCGAATTGGTTCAGATTCATAGAGATCCTGTATAGGGTTTCCGAGGCTTTAAATCTTTATAGGAGCAAAACGCCTCATCTTTCTCCCTTGGAGCGGCTGGCGGGCTCAAACCTTGGACCTTGTAGTTTGCAGTCCAGTGCTTATCCTATGGAGCCACTGCACTCCCATTGTTACAATGCAGTATTTTGTACACTTTTCAATATTAGAATTGCAGATTCCTAATGAGTTACGTTTCTTTCTGTCTTTATGTCAGATTTGTACATAAATCGGAACAGGTAGGTACAGTTTGTATCTAACATCATTAGTCACTGTTTAACTCAGTATATAGTATCTAGTGTACCTCTCTGTACATTGCAAAAACACTTCCAGATGCACTAAAACATTTTTAACACAATACACCACTCCTTATCCACATGGTTAGTTTTCAAAGACCAGGTCTTTATGCAAAAATCAGTTAATGGAGGGTAATCACATCAGATCACAAAAGAGAGGATGACTGCTGGAACCCTCAGGAGCTCTGGTAGCAAAGTGGTTACAAGTCGGGCTGCTAAACTTAAGTTCAACATTTCGAAACTACCAGCTGTTCCACAGGAGAAAGAAGAAGCTTTCTGCTCCCGTAAAGATTTATAGCTTCGGAAACCTATGCGGGGGTCACTATGGAGTCCTGGTGGGCACTGTGGGTGGTTCAAGCTCTCCAGCTGGTCCTCAGAGGCCCTATAAGAATTGCCATGGTTCAGAACCGACTCCATGGCACTAACAACAACAGTCACATCATTGTCAAATTATATCATTACATAACTGCCAAACCACCAAGAATCATCCCCCAGCCAAGTGGACACATAACTAACCATCACGGCAAATCGGTTTGGCCTCACATCTCAGTGCTGGTTACAGCCAGAGGCATGTTGTTAATGTGCAAAATTGTCTTAAAGGTAACATGTCAAATAAGGAGCTAGCCAATCATGAGGACTAAGTGTCATGTTTTGATGCATACCTCAGAGTAGTACCTGCTTGGTATTATGAACAATTGTATGTACTTGTAGTTTTTAATATATGAGGCATCACTGGGGTTGAAGTGTAACTAAGGTTGTAAGTCTATACATCGAACGTTCATAACCCAGGGACTGCTTGTATTTAAAACCAAGTCTTGATGACTCATTTCATATGTCTTTGAGGCAAAGTTCTAGATTCTTCTTGCTCAGAACAATAACCCAGATTGGCTGTGAACTCGAATTAGCTGCACAGATGACCTGAGGGATCTCACTGGAAACACTCATTCCCCAATGGCTTCCATTACTGATGCTGGGGCTTTCTGGTTTTATTACAAAAGTAGTATTACTCTTTGGAGGAACCAAGGGTAATATATAAAGTAAAGGAGCCCTGGTGGTACTGTGGATTAGGTGTTGGGCTGCTAACCACAGTGTCGGCAGTCCAAACCCACCAGCCCTGTGAGGCTGTTTGTAAAGATTTACAGTGAGTGCTGGCAGTGGGCTTTGTTTGGGTATATAAGGTAAAAGTGGAAGCTCCTCCAGGCTACCGAAAGCCCCACATCCCCTGAACAGTTTATATGTCCATCTTCCCTGGCCTTTATGTCACTACAAATGTGTGCCACATATAAAACCTATTCACTTCAAAATAGAATGAAAGGACTGTCCAACAATCTGTTAGGTAGCTTTCTATTTTTATCCCAGAGTATCAAAAGGACTCTTAGGTGCTAATAAATCCCTACCTTAGACTGTGTGTGTGCATACACATATATACAACTGCTAACCACAAAGTCGGCGGTTCAAACCCACCAGCCACACCTCAGAAACCCTAAACAGGGTCACTATGAGTTGGAACCGATTCGACGGCACTTAACAGCAACAAGGAGCATTGGTAGCATGTTGGTGTTGAGTGCCGTTGAGTCGGTTCTGACCCATAGCGACCCTTACAGGGTTTCCGAGGAGTGGCTGGTGAGCTTGAACTGCTGACTTTGCAGTTCAAACAACTTTGCAGTCCAGCGCATCACTAGAACTCCATTGGTAGCATAGTGGGGTTTAAGTTGGGCTGCTAACTTCAAAGGTCACTAGTTCAAATTTACCAACTGTTCCATGGAAGAAAGATGAAGCTAGGTTTGCAGGCTAGTGGAACTAAAGCTGAATGCCTTTGATCTGAGGCTTACTGGTTGAGTGGGGTGCTGCCTCTGGGCACTTCATTGGCAGAGTTAGAAGGGCTTTGTAACAACTAGCTGAAGCAGGGCAGAGGCCGGAGAGCCACAGATAGGTCTGCCTGTGGGCACAGTGGAAAAGATGCTGTTCTGAGGGAACTGTAGCCTGAGCGCTCCTGATCTTGAATTGTCACCTGTCACTTCCCTAATAAACACTATCGCTCTGACTATGGTGTCTGAAACAAATTATCAAACACAGCAGAGAATTAGAGTGCCATGGCCAAGTGGCAGAATCGATGGACTCAAGCGTGGCAACAGTAGTGAGGTTGGCCCAGGATCGGGCAGTATTTCGTTCTGCTGTGCATAAGGTCGCTATGGGTCGGTACTGACTCGATGGCACCTAACAACAACAACAACATGGGAAGGACAGTTGATGTCAAAATTGATAAAAAGGTTAGAAGGTGGAGGCATAGCTGACCCTTTGCCTCCTAGGAATCAACCTTGAGCTTTTGATCTTGATTCTTTCCACCCCTTAGGAAGTTAGAGACCACATGCCTCTGCCATACCATTTTTGCAGTATATAAACAATAAAACCTGGTAAAGCTGGAGCCTGTGTAAGGCAGAAACCTGTCAGAGAAGGAAAATGCAAGGATTTTCAACTACTAAAAAGCAATATGGATGTGAAAGCTGGGCAGTGAATAAGGAAGACTGTAGAAGAATTGATGCCTTTGAGTTGTGGTGTTGGAGGAGAATACTGAAAGTGCCATGGACTGCCAAAAGAACCAATAGATCTGTTTGGGAAGATGTGCAGCCAGAGTGCTCCTTGGAGGCCAAGATGGCTAGGCTTCATCTCTCATGCTTTGGACACATTGTCCGGAGAGCAGTCGCTGGAGAAGGATGTCATGCTGGGTAAGATGGAGGGTCAGAGAAAAAGAGGAAGACCCCCAACGAGATGAATTGTCGGGGTCTGACCCCGACATAGTTGTCACGAGTTTTTGGTTCACGAGGAGGGGAGATCCAGCGGCGATAGGGATAGCAAAAGAATACACAGAGAAACAGAAGAAGGGAGACAATGAGGCACCCCAAAGCCAGGGTGGATACATCACTGGTGGACAGGCTTGGGACTACAGGCATCATGGCCTCTGCAGGCAGCGACTCACTGCCCTGCAATCTTTAATGCATGCCTTCCAACCCGTAATGCACCGCAATCTTTACTCCATGCCTTCCAACCAGTAATGCACTGATCTTTACTCCATGCCTGCCAACCAGTAATGCACACCTGGGGAGGCCCAGGCCTCTGTTTTATTTAGGGGAGGAGTTTCACACCAAGCTGGGAGGGACTAACACAGGATACAGCTAACATCAGTAATTTTCCAGACATTCAGGTAACTTTACATTGTACTTCACTGGTTCGAATCTCAGGCCAGCAACTTGGATTCTCAGGCCCAATTAACATATCTATAGCCCCTGAGGTCAGTTGGGGGAAGTTGAGAGTTCTGCAGGAGACGCCCAGGTGAATGGGCTGCACCTGGAAAAGGGATTAGGGAGGATGGGTTCTTTGTCTATAGAACAAAGAACCGAGAAGTAGCTAAGATATTTTTAGGTAATCCTTTGGAGAAAGGTTTAACCTTGCAACCTTTAGTCTCGGCTTTAGGAAAATATCACATTTATCTGTGGATTTTCAAAGGCTCCAGTGTATTAATTTAATATATATACCTGAATATTAATATGAAAGCAGTTTGCCATTAACTGCCAGTGGCCTCATTTGTTACACTCGGCCCTAGAGGGCCTCGAACCTCTGACTAGTCTTACACGGTCTGCAACAATGAATCAGCCAGGTGACATCATTGATGGCGTCAAGTGTGGCAGCGGTAGTGAGGTTGGCCCAAGATCGGACATTGTTTCGTTCTGCTGTGCATGGGGTCACTATGAGTCGGTTCCGACTTGATGACACCTGACAACAACAAAAAGCAATAGAAAAGTTGTCAGACCGCACCCTCGAAAAACAAGGAAGCCCTGTCAAGTTCAGCTGTCACAGTTTTCACTGCATGAACACACAGACGTTGATAGACGTCATTTTCCTTAGCCTTTATTAACTACGGCATAAGTATCCTGTATATATGGTGTGGGTGGATGCACTGCAGCATGTTTATCCATTCCTCTACTAAAGCATAGCGAGGTGGTCCCAAGTTCCACTCTTCAGAATAACCCGAGGCTGCTTTTTCAGGTTAGAACATAAGATTCCTCAGAGTAGGAAGGCTTCTGGCAAACTGAGATAGCAGCTAAGGAAAGTTTCTGATTCACAGAGAACGAAGGGACCACTCAACAAGAACTAGTTTCAGGCAACGAGAGGCAAGGTGCTGAAGGACAAAGATGAACAAGATCCTTCACACATAAGAGCCACGTCACGAAAGTAAAATGGAACAAAGTGACGTAACAGAAATGTAGAGAACCATCTTTGCCCTCCTGTGTAACACCTCAGGATCCTGGACTAACTCAGTAAGACAACACCTTACACAACCCTCCAGGATTGAAGCTAAAATTCAAGAAATAGCTGGAGGGAAAAAAACAGGCAGATGTCAATACCAGGGGCTTGGAAAGTAGTGGGGAAAAGCTGCCACCCAGTTCTACAAACAGCTGTTTACCTCCTTCAAACAATGGATTCCTGTTAGTCCCAGGCAGGTCCCACCCATGGACTCAGGGAAACTTTGGCTTTGCCTCTAATCTCTTAATCGGTTGGGAGAGATCACTTTTTATCATGGTGGTTAGGGGTCCCAGAGTAGCTGCCCCCTGTATAGAGAGCAGAAAGCCGCCTCATTCGCCCATGACATGAATAAGGTTAAGGCTTGTAAAGATGAGTTCTTCAATCTTGGCTCCTGAAAAGAGGCAGGGAGTAGCTGGGGACTTGCCATATCCAATCAGCTAGCCTGTTGTCACTATAGGTCACTTTCAATCTAATAAGGACATTAACACTCATACTAAACAAATATTTTATCAGTTGATGGTTTCATTTATAGTTGTTTAGTGCCGTCGAGTTGGTTCCCACTCATAGCGACTCTGTATAAGGTTTCTGAGGAGCACCTGGTGAGTTTGAACCGCCGACCTTACAGTCCAGAGCATTAACCTGTAGTGCCACACCAGGACTCCCATAGTTTCATTTACTACTTATTTAATCTTTCATTGGTTTGGAAGCAAAGGTGCAATTTTTGTAGTCACTAAGTCTTTTCTGATAAAACTGCACACCTGAGCAGAGACAGTATTTGGTCCTTTATGCTGATCTTCAGCCTAGACCATGTGCCACCGTTTATAAAAATCGTCCTGGGTGTTGCTCAGTGTCTCTAGGTCTGAAGCCAGCCTTCTCTAACATGGTGTCTGTGCAGGTTGTGGAACCCCTCTATGCCTTTATTGTCTTATCTGGGAAATGGGAATTAACACTCACCTCTCAGAATGCTGATACAATCCCAGAACAGAAACTCTGAAAGCATCTCACCTGGCATAGAACGAATGCACACTCATTTGTCCTGAATACCTACTGTGGGAAAGGGTTTCTGGGGGCTGCCGGGACTACAAAGGTATCCCCAGCCCTTCTGAAATTGACAATTTCATAAGTTTCCAATATGAATGGGGGTGATCAGAGGTCCCTTGCTCAGAGGTTGGCTTACCTACATCTCTTACATCACAGCAAACCAGTGACTCCCATCACTCACCTCCTGGCCCCTTCCTCTCCCCACCCCAAGATAACAAAATGATTGCTGAAAGTCACAAGCATATCACAGGGCTTGTCGATAGGGAAGAAAATCCCTTCTGATGCCAAAACCCCTTAGTGAAACTTGAGAAATTGAGAAGTGAGACTATGCTCTAAAATAAACTGGCCCAAATCAGCCTTTTGACACTTAGATCAGGCATTTGGTATCCCCGTGTGCTCCCACCCTAAGGAGGCAGCAGCCACATGTGGTGGGAGATTTCAGAGAAGATTATCTGGGAGCAGAGCCCAGCCCACAGACCACACAGTGAGAGCCACTACCCCTAAAATAACCCAGGCAGATGACTGGTCCTACCACAACCTCTGCAGTTTGGAAGGAAGGTTATTCCTGCCCATCAATGAGAGGGACTGAGCTGCTGGTGGCCAGCTCATTCCCAGATGGTTCAGGGACTGGAGTCTCTCAAATGCCAAGCAGCATTAGCAATGCAAAGAATAATGGGAGGTCACCAGAAAGTCCTGGTGTGGTGCTGTGGGTTAAGGCCGCAGACTGCAAAAGACTTTGAACTGCAAAGTTGGAGGTTCAAGCTCACCAGTCATTCCTTGGAAACCCTATACACTAAGGGTCACTATGGGTCGGAACCGACTCCACGGCACTTAACAACAACCTCAGAGTGCAATCCCCAAGAGCCCTGCTTTTATGAACCCAACATGGGAAGCAGGGGAGAGTCTCAGACTTGTAAGAATGGGCAGGTAGGGGCGTCTGACCTCCAACTCTACCTGGAGGACAGTCAAGACCAACAGCCTAAGACTGATTGCTGTGAGGTGGGGGTTCCACACTCCTCCCAGGCACTCTCTGCTTCTTGGCTGGGTTCTGTCATTCATTGCAGTAACCACACAGGATTATTATGGTTCGGTGGTTTACAAGGGAAGTAACAAGTTACAATTCAGGATTGGAAACAAGTCAGGATACAGTTCTTCAGTTCATAGTTTCTCAGTCAAGCTGACTTCTCTGCCACTTGACCCAGCCTCTGCCCTGCTCAGGCATGTGTTAGAAAGCTCTTTGTTGTTGTTGCTGTTGTGAAGTGCCGTGGAGTGGGTTCCATCTCATAGCGACGACCATGTATAGGGTTCCCAAAGAGCGGCTGATGAGCTTGAACCGCCGACTTTGAGGTTCAAATTTACCCTCTCCACCAATAAGCACCTAAAGGCACCCCATTCCGACAGTAAGCCGCAGCCCAAAAGACACTCAACTTTCTAGCTCAGCTGCCTCGAAAACCCTATACAGAGTCACCGCACTTATAAGAACATATGCTCGTGGCTGGCGTCCAACCAGAGCGGGAGCTCCTGAGGCAAGAGGCCAGGTTTGGACTACAAGTCCCAGCATCCCTGGCGGCGCGGCCTGTAGACGTGGAACCGCAGTCGACCGGGCGGGACTTGGCGCACAGACACCGACTGCCGCAGCGTCTGAGCGCGCCTGCCGCGATTCTCCAGGCGCACCGGCCCCGCCGCTCCGCCCCCAGGCCCCGGCTCGCTCCTCCGCGGCGAGGCAGCGCAGCGCGGAGGCCAGCGATGAGCGCAAGGAGTCGGCATGAGCGCAGGTGAGTGCGGAGCCCTGGGCCGGCCAGAAGGGAACTAGCACGGACCCTGCCTGCCGTACTACCTGCGGTAGAGTAACACCCCGTGGACTCTCGGGCGAGCCGGTCTGCGGGCCCGATCCCTCCCCGGTCTAGAGGAGTTGGCACCAGGGCCTTCCTGGGAAAGGCCAGGAGCCTCGGAACCCCGCCTTCTTACGGGCCTGCTGCGGTAGGAGAGGACTCTCCCGGTACTGATGCAAGAGGAAAGTGGGAGCCCAACGTGGGAGATGGTCACTGCCCACTGACCTGTCCCCGAGAGATCGGGTTCAGGTAGGGACTTTCACGGGCTAGTTTAGGGAACAGACAGGGAAGCTGCTGCAGCTTGGGGTATTTGGGATCCCATCCTGGAAAAGAATATCATGCCTGGTAAAGTAGAGGGTCAGCATAGAAGAGGGCGACCCTCAAGGAGATGGAGTGACACATTGGCTGCAACAATGGGCTCAAACGGTACAGTTGTGAGAATGGCGCAGGACTGGGCATGGGTTCGTTATACTGTGCACTGTTGTTGTTAAGTGCTGACGAATCGCTTCCAACTCATAGAGACCCTGAGTAGGATTTCCGAGAAGCAGCTGGTGGGTTTAAACTGCTGACCTTGTGGTTCGCAGTCCAGTGCTGATCCTACAGTGCCATGCCATAGGGTTACTATAATTTGAGTCACCATAAGGAACCAACTCATTGGCACCTAACAACTGGGCAGTTGATGCTTTTTGCAGAATGAATGAATGAATGAGATGGCAAGAAGACGGGTCTCCTTAGTTCCTTAGGCCCTGGCTCTGAGCTTTGTGAGGCAGCAGGTCCATCCCATCCCTCTAGCCTCAGGCCCCCAGAGGAAGTCTGTCAGCACCCAGGCCTGAGGAACATACCCCCCATAGGACCACCTCTGGTCAGATGTTTGGAACCACTATCTCCAGTCTTAATTTAAATGTGGAGTCCTGGTATGGCACTGTGGGATAATGCACTGGGCCAAAACGTTGGTTTGAACCACAAGATCAGAGTTGAATCAAAATTCACCAGCTGCTCCTCGGAAACCCTATACAGGGTCACTATGAGTTGGAATCGACTCCACAGCACCGAACAATAATTTGGTCCCTGGGTGGCACAAGCTATTTGTGATCAACTGCTAACAAAAAGTTTGTTGGTTTGAACCCACCCAGAAGCTCCGTGGAAGAAAGGTGTGGTGAACTGCTTCCACAAAGATTGTAGCCAATGGGCACATCATGACGAGGAATCCACTGGGGTTTTGATTTTGTTTGTTTTTTTGTTACTAAGAATGGGGCCAGTTATCTATCCAGACCTGACACCTCAGCCATAGACCCCCACCACTATAGCTGAAGGCCCCTCAGGCCCTGTCTCTCCCTCCCTACCTTCCTCCATACTCCCCACCACACACACATGCACAGTCTGGAGTGCATTCAGGGTGAGGAAGGAAAGATCTGAGGCAAGATGGGCACCTGGTCCCCAGATCCAAAGTTTGGGGTGCTACTGGCAGACGTCCATGCCCTATGAAGGAGAGGAGCTACTGGTCTCAGAGCAGCCCCCAGGCGGGTGAGAAGGCAGTGCTGCTGCTCTGGACCACTGCCAGGTTACCAGCAGGAAGTCGGGGCTTCCGCAGGAAATGAGAGGTTCCCATATGGCTTTGACTTCAGCCCCTCTGCTCTGCTCTGCTGGTGGCACTGCCCCCTCCACACACACACACTCCTCCCAGCCCTGGAAGTCAGACCAGGTTCAGGTCCAGTCTTGGCCACTCATAACTATGTGGCTTTGGGCCCATTTCTGTGCTTCATCTTTAAAAGAGAGTCATAATCTGTACTTTTCATGGGGTGGTTGTGAGGGTGAGCAAAGAGGAATGGTTTCATTCAGACCCATGCATTCCTGGCTTGTTTCAAGCTTTGTGACCCCGGGCAAGTGACTTCACAGCTCTGTTCCTCGGTTTCCCCAGCTGTAAAGCAGGATAATAGCATTTCCTGCCTCAGAGGGTTGCATGTGAAGCTTCACTGAGTCACTGAGTGAAGCGCTTCCAACGCTTTCAAACAAACTCACGTGCCAGTTGCTGCCAGTCAGAAGCAGCAACACTAACCATGAAAGCATCATCACCCACAGAGTCTGTGGCACCTGCCTGGGCCTGCCCTGACCTGACAGTACTAAAGGGGCCAGACACTACCCTGGGGAGCCTGTGGTGTGAAGAGAGAGAAATACACACATCTGTGTTTTGACAGGTGTCAAGCGGGGAAGGTCCCCTCGACAGGGATATAGATTGTTCCATAGCTGTGACTTCCTCCCTCATGCCTCTGTCCCTTCCCTTTTCCCAAGATTGGCTGGGAAGAGAACCCTCAGAAAATGACGAGTATGGGATAGACACAAAGAAGTTCCCAGAGGGAACGCTGTTTAGATGCTGGGGAAGCGAGTGAGTGAGGGGCACCGGATGGTGTCTACAGAGCCCATTAAGAAGCTCATACCCCTGTATACCTCACAGCAGACTGACCCAGAAGCAGGCGGATGAACACGGTGACTCCTAGCAACATCCCCATGTGTCAGGGAACTGTGTGGGCACCCACTCATTCATTCAGTAAGTCCATCCTGAGGCACTGTGAGTAGCACAGGTGAGGACCCCAAGTTCTATGGGAGTTCTGTGGGAGAGAGTATTGAATAGGTAGAGGTGGTAGGCGCAGGAGGGATTTGGAGTAAGGCAGACCCTTTTCCAGCTATGAGACAAATCTGTGGACAAAATGCCTCTGAGGCTCGATTTCTTCATTTGTAAAATGGAGTAGGAGAAACCATCCCCTCCCCACAATGACAGAAATCTGACAAATGTGAGCAAAGTTCACCAAAGAGACTCCTTTCACATCCCAACCTGGGCTGTTGCACTTGCAGGCCTGGAGGAGTTGTGGAATGGACATAGCAGGCGGTGTGAGAGCCTGAGAAATGGGTCACCGCAGAAACCACACCCCCTTGGCAGGGGAGGCAACATCCACCCACATGTACAGACTGGCGCTTTGGTAGCTTCAAACACCCCAGAGGCTGCGCCTCAAGTTTCTCCTGTGGGCCAACTGCTTCGGGAGTATCTTCCTACATACAGTTGGATGCAGAAGCCCAGAGAGGGCAAAGCACTTGCCTTATGAAACACAGCTTGTTTGTAAGAACACTGATGATGCAGTGGTTAAGAGTGTAGACTCAAGAACCAGGCTCTCACTTTGAGGATGTGACCTTTGGCAACGTACTTAACCTCTCTAGGCCTCAGGTTTCAAATCTGTAAACTAGGGTTTAAAAAGAAGTGCCTACTTCCTAGAGTTGTGGTGAGGAATCCCTGAATGAATGTCTCTAAAGCCCTTGGGAGAGGCCTGGCTGGTAGTAAACTCCCTATAATTTGAGGTGCTCTTTCCTTTTACACCATAGAAACATCCCAAGAACAGCAGGAATGGGTGAGAGACTGCCTACCATGCCCCACTTCCAGGGGTGATATCCAGGGGTGGAGCGTGAAGGGCTCTGGCTAAAAGACATTTGGGACTGCCACCCTTTTAAAGAGGGTAAGAAGAGGCTGTGTTTGTTGGTGGTAAAGCACATGAGACCCCCAAGGTGCCAGGCTCTGTCAGTGTTCCTGAATGCTCATCTCCCAGTCCACTGTACCAGAGCCAGGAGCCCTCAGATCCTGCTTGTCTGTACCGTCACCAGGAAGAGAAGCTTCCCTGACAAGCTTCACTGGGCATGGAGCTGGGGCCAGACAGGAAAGGGGAAACCAGCTGGCAGCCAAACAGCCCCACCTCCTGGGGGACCAGGAAGAATACAGACTCTGAGCCTCAGACTCCGCCCCTTCTGCCAGTTGGTTGCTACAGGCTTGTGTGTGTGTGTGTGTGTGTCTTGTGTGTATGAATTGAGGTGTATGTCAGAGTATGTGTGAATGTGTATGAGTGCACATGTATGGTACAGTGTTGATGAGTGTATGCAGATGTGATTGGATGTGAGTGTGCGTGTGTGGGATGGTGTGTCTGTGCGAGAGCATGTGTACAAGTACATGTGCATGTGTGTACATGTGTAAGACTGTGTTGATGTGTAAGGATATTAGTGTGTGCCCGGTGTGGGACGGTGTGTCTGTAAGCGTGAGAGCATGTGTGTGTGTGTGTGTGTGTGTGTGTGTGTGTGTGTGTGTGTACATATGGTAACGTGAGAGTGAATGGTGAGCGTGAGTGCATGTGTGTGAAAGTGTGTATGAATGAGATAGTGTGTCCATGAGTGTGTGTGTGTGTGGACGTGTATAAGTATATGAGATCATGTCTGTGAGTGTGAACATGCACATGTGTGACTGTGTGTGAGCGTGTAGATGAGATCGTGGCCGTGAGTGTGAGGACACATGTGTGTGACTGTGTGAACATGTAGATGAGATCGTGGCCGTGAGTAAGAACATGAACGTGTTTGACTGTGTGTGAGTATGTAGATGAGATCGTGGCCGTGAGTGAGAACATGTGTGTGTGTGACTGTGTGAACGTATAGATGAGATCATGGCCGTGAGTGTGAAAACATACATGTGTGTGTGAACATGTAGATGAGATTGTGGCATGAGTGTGAGAACACACGTGTGTGTGACTGTGTGTGAACATGTAAATAAGATCGTGTCCGTGAGTGAGAACATGCATGTGTGTGACTGTGTGAACGTGTATGAGTATATGAGATCGTGGCCGTGAGTGGGAAGACATGCATGTGTGAGCATGTAAAAGTATGAGATTGTATCCATGTGTGTGAGAACACGTATGTGTGTGGTGAGTGTCCAGGTGAGAGATTGGTCCAGGCTGTGAGACTGAATGTGTATGTGCAGGTGAGAGGTGATGTGTCTATGTGAGTGTGTGACCATACTTGTGTGCATATGTGCATGTGTGTGATGTCAGTGATCTGTGTGAGGGTGTGAATTATGTGAGTGTGCTGTGAGAACGTGTGTGTGTGTGCGCGCGCACTCCCCAGAAAGGTAGCTCTGCTGCTTGTGTTTGGACGGAAGCCGAGTGGACAGGGTGGGACTGACCACAGGTGGACTTTGCTTGTTTGGAGTCTTCACCTTGGCAGAGGCCTCAGTGGGAACAGGACACCAGTTCCCTGAAAGTGCCCACGTGTGCCCAGTGGCAGACTCGTAAAAAGCACAGGATCTGGAGGCCGACTTTTGGGTTCATCATTTACTGGTGGTGTGTTTGGCAGGGTTTTGGTGCCTTTGGAGCCTCCGTTTCTCCTGTGTAAAATGAGAACAATCAGCACCCACGTCATAGTGTGGCAGGGAAGTGGAACAAATTAATGTGTGTGAGGCTTCAACCAGCTCCTGTCACCTTGGAGCTCTTCGCGGAGGTCACTGTTCTTATTATCATTAGGACAGTAGTCATTATTGCCATCCAGTGGGAGGAGATACGGAGGCAGGATAGGAGAGATCACATGGCCCAGGCAGGGCAAAAGAGTGATGAAAAACGTAAGCATGGAGTCATCCTGCTTGGACTCACAGCCTAGTGCTACCATGTGCTTGCTGTGTGATCTTGGACAAGTTCCTTTACTTCTCCACGTCTCTGAAAGTGCCTCTATAAGAAGATGTTAGTAATCGTGCCTACCTGGTCGAGTAATTGTGCAAAAGGCCAGAAGCATAGCCCAGCACACGGCGAGCACCTAGTGACTGGTTGTTGGGCTCCGGGAAGCCACAGATGTTAGGGACCAAGGGGCTAAGGGGGGCGGGCTGGGAGAGTGTGCCTGTGGCTTCTACCTACCTGGGAGGCAGAGGACTTGTTGGGTCAAAACTTATATAAGGCCCCTGAAGAGTTTAGGGGAGGGGAAGAGGGCGCCCAGTAATCAGCCCTCACTGCCCTGCAGCATTCATCCTCCCCACACCCAGCCTCCTGGCCCCTTACTGAGCTTTTCTAGTTCATTGACACCCAGCATTGCTCCTACACAAGAAAGGGAGCAGTCAGTCCCCACCCCACTGCAGGGGCCTTGGAACACCCACAGCTGGTTGGAAGAGTAGGAGAAAAAAGAATTTCTTCAATAGAGCTGCCAGGTTCTAGCCCCCAAGCCTCAGTTTACCCATCTATAAAATGGAGGTGGTAATAGCCCCTTCACTCACAGAGTGTTGAACAAGGAACTGTTTAACTGTTGAGATGGTCCCTGGCAAATAGCAACTTCTCTCCTCAGGCCTGAAGGGAGAGGGTCCTCCTCCCCTGCCCACACCCAATGGCTGTCCCCTGTTCTACCGTCAGAGCGAGGCTTTCCTTGATCAGTCCTGACCCGCCTTCTCAGCATGTCCTGTTGCCAGGTCTGTGCTGAGCGTGGGGACTGAAGGAGGGTCATATGCCCTGCTGCCTGCCCACAGCGTGGAGGCCACATGAGGAATGGGGCAGTGGCCACAGAGCTCCAAGGAATCGAGTAGCTGGATGTGTGAGCAGCTATGGGAGATCGGGGTACACCCACATCCCAACACACAAGGAAACAAGGCACTTTTACTGCTAGCTAGCAGCAGAAACAGCCAGGGAGCAGACCCCTGAAGACTTGAGCTGTTGGCGGGCTCACACCAAGTACAACATGACTCTGCCTATGTTCAAACAAGAATGACAAGGGGGAGCCACCCCACATCACCTTTGTCCTTTCTGTCCACAGACAGCAGCCCTCTCGTGGGCAACCCGCCCGCCGGTTATGGGACCCTGACGGTAGAGACATCTATCGATCCCCTCAGCTCCTCAGTTTCATCCGTGGTAGGTGGGCAAGGTGGGCGGGATACCCTGGCCCCAGCCTTCCCGGCATCCTCCTCCAGCCCAGCCTTCACTCACCTATACCTGCAGAGGCTCAGCGGCTACTGTGGCAGTCCTTGGAGGGTCATAGGCTATCACGCCGTGGTCTGGCTGCTGGCTGGGATCCCTCTGCTGCTGTTCCGGTGGAAGCCATTGTGGGGGGTGCGCCTCCGTCTCCAGCCATGCAACCTGGCCCGCGCCGAAACACTCGTCATCGAAATAAAAGACAAAGAGGTGAGAGTCTGCCCAAGCAGAGGCAACCAGGGCCAGAGAGGGTGGGCAGGAGCCTGGCCACTGATGTTGGACAGGTCATTCTCTCTGGACCTCGGCTATACCATCTGAACAATGGGCACAAGGAGCAGCCAGGTGATTCCTGAGGAATTTGCCTCTACCCTTGATCTCTGCCTTCTCCAGCAGGGGCCACCAGGCAGTGGGTGGCGGTGCTGGGGGAGACTGAACCCATACCTCTGTTCCAGGATAGTTCGTGGCAGCTCTACACTGTCCAGGTACAGACAGAGGCCATCAGCGAGGGCAGGTGAGGCAGCCCATCGCCCCCTCCCAAAAGCCTTTGCTCCCTCTCCCCTCCTTCCAAAGGCTCTGAGCCTGGTGCCCTCATCCCAGGGAGGGAAGGTAACTGTGGGAACAGTGGGGAGCTCCGGACTGACCTCTGTCCACCTCCCCAGTCTGGACCTGCCCCCACTGGCCCAGCTGGAGGATGGCCGGAGCCAGACAGCCGTGGGGACAGTACCAGAATGGACCTGGAAGGACACTGCCCAGCTCCACAGCAAAGAGGAGGGGGTAAGTGGACAGACAGCTGGGTTCTGGATAAGCACCCCCTCTCTGGGCCTCAGTTTCCCTTTCTGTACAGTAGTGAACCTGAATTCTTTATGCTCTCCAAGCACCTTCCGGTCCTGTTGTCCCCGACACATCTGCATTGCTCTCTGACCCCTGTTTTACTCCTGGGCCCCTCCTTGTGATACTGACCCCTCTCCCCTGCTCCTCCTGGGATCCAGTCCAGCTACCCCCTCATGTCTCCTTCCTCCTTCCTCACCCCCCAGAAGCGTGTGCTGCGATACTACCTCTTCCGGGGCCAGCGCTATGTCTGGATTGAGACACAGCAAGCCTTCTGCCAAGTCAGGTAGGGTCAGGGCAGAAGGATGCTGGATGGGCAGAGGGAGTGACGTGAAGTAGCCTGGCCGGGGCTCCTAGCAAGGAGCTGCCTCTGACTCAGAACCTCGGGCCCAATGCTGAGCCCTCTCCCAGCCCCCGTGTCTCTGTAAGCTGGGGTGGAATCTGCCTTAATTTATGTGAAGCTTGGCCCAGCATCCATTACAAAGTAGCCACGTAGTAATTAGCAGGAGGGTGGGCTCTGGTCATTCTCTACCACTCCCAGGGTGCACTAGACCCCAAAAGCAGATTCTGAATGCATGGCATTTGCTTGGAAGGAGATCACAGGAAAGCCCTGGGGAAGTGAGGCCCTCAATGAAAGTGGTATTAACATGCCACCTACCACCATGGGCAGCTGGCACTCAGCCGCTCTGGGGATGCCTCAGAACCAGTGTAGAGCACGCACCTCCAAGGTGCCTCCCACAAAGAGCGGGGAAGCGGGACACTTAGCCACCAACTCCCTCCCAGCATCCCTGCCATTGAGGGTGGCGGCTACTAAACCAGGGCCATTAAGTCTTCAGCACTTTGGGCTTTCCTGGCTCAGGCCCCAAAGCACTGGGAGGCATTTGCAGGAGGCTGCAGGTACGTGCCATGGGGAGGTGGGTGTGGCCTTTGCTACACAACACAAACTGGAGTAAAGGCCACTGATGTGTTGTGCTGTGGAGATGCCTGCCCAGAACACTTGGGTAGGTGCTGCAACTGTGCCCAGTACAGACGACAAGACTGAGGTTGCATGGGGTAGTTAAGTAGCTGGCCTGAAGTCTCACCATGCACATGTGCGGTAGCTGCACTTGTCACTCTTACTGTGATCATCCTCTCGTTGTTCTCCGACCTGCTGCTCCTTGGTGACAAGGCTCAAGGCTTTCTCAGGAATAAGAAAGTTTAGCCCAGAGCTAGGGAGCAGTCTGCTTTCTCTTAGATGCTTAATGTGGCAGGTGGGGGCCACCAGAGGTCAGGAGCCTCGGATAGTGCCCCCAGGTCCCATCGCCCATACAAGTACCCCCTCCCCACTCCACCAGCCTGCTGGACCATGGCCGCACCTGTGACGACATCCACTGTTCCTGCTCCGGGCTCAGCCTCCAGGACCAAGCTGTGAGGTGGGTGATGCCCTGGGCCAGGGTGCCCTGAGAGCTGGGACCCCTACCTTGCCCACCCTGGTGTAGCCGCCTTCTAGTTCCCTATTTTCTTTGGGCCTTGAGGTCTCCAGATGTAAAACAGGAATCCCTGGCATCCCTGGAGGATCCAGCCACCTTGGCCATTCATCTGACCACTCAACCACTTCCCTTCTTGCAGGAAGACCATCTATGGCCCCAATGTGATCAGCGTTCCGGTCAAATCCTATCTCCAGCTCCTGGTGGATGAGGTAGGGTTGTCTGGGTCTCACCCAAGCTCTGATTTGGGTGTGCTGAATGTCCACATCTGGACAGACAAACCATCGTCCCATTCTCAGTGGTGGCGAGTCATCCCGGACCCTACCCTCATCAGTTTGGCAAGAGGTTAAGTCAAGGAATTGGCAGTTCCAGCCAAAACTTGGGCTAGAGATTGGGACTCCACATGTGGGGCTTAGAAGGGCAAGAACCAAACCCACACTGCTCGAGTACCTGCTGGGTGCCAGGAGAACTGGGCATGAGGTATCTGCTTTCCTTCTCCCAACAGCCCATGGGCAAGGGATGAGGACTAGACTCAGTTCACATAGGAGAAAGCTGAGCTTCCAAGTCAGGGTCACACAGGGCCAAGGGAGCCAGGGACCCAGACATTACTAGAGTAAAATGCTGCTATCCCACCCCTCTGACCCCAGGCAAACACCCCTGAAAGGGAGAGGTCTGAGGGCCAGCCTGAGGGTACCATTGGGCTATTGCTATGAGCTCTGCAGTCTTAACCCTCTGTGCCTCTGTTTCCTCGTCTGTACAACAGAGCTGACGGCAACTCCTGCCTCATGGAATTGTCACAATTGAGTGACACTTAACAGTGCTTAGCAAGGGCCTGTCATGAAGTGGGGGATCCATAAATGCCGGAGTCCCAGATAAAACAAGGTTCAAGGGACACCAGCAATGGAGGCAGAGATGAGGGCATGGAGATAGAGCCGCTGAGGACCCTGGACACATGGAAAGAGAAAGGCTGTGTGCTGTGTCCAGGAAGCAGGCTTGCAGAAGTGCCCTTTGGTTGTTTAAATGATTGTATACTCCTGAGTGTTTTTGTGTACATCAAAAAAAAAAAAACAGAAGGAATGGAAGCAAATGCTGTTGACTGATGATGCACAGAGGAGATTGTAATAATTGCAATGAAATGATGAGTGTGAAACCGATGTCCTCCCATGTAAACTATCACTCAGTTCACAAAAGCTTGATAAAACACAAAAACAGGGCTCAGGGGGTGTCTGTTTGGGTGAGGTCAGACTAGAAGTAGACTACAGGCTTGGCTTTAGCCTTTGGTAGGTGGCTGCCAGGCTACCCGGCTGCCCTGGGGTACGGGCCCTGAAGCGCCTCCCACCCCTCCCCACAGGCACTGAACCCCTACTATGGGTTCCAGGCCTTCAGCATCGCGCTGTGGCTGGCCGACCACTACTACTGGTACGCCCTGTGCATCTTCATCATCTCAGCCATCTCCATCTGCCTGTCGATGTACAAGACCAGAAAGGTGAGTGGGGTGAGGCAGGCCGAGGGTGCGGGCACAAGTGGGTCCCCAGTCGGCCTCCGCCCACCCCACTCCCTGTGTCCCCGTGTCTCACAGCAAAGCCAGACCCTGAGGGACATGGTCAAGCTGTCTGTGCAGGTGCGCGTGTGCCGGCCGTGGGGAGGTAAGCACTGGGATACAGGGCAGGCCTGGGGAGGCAGCTGGCCTGGCCTGGCCAGTGCTGAGACTCCTGCTTGCCCCCAGAGGTGGACTGGGTGGACTCCAGCGAGCTGGTACCTGGAGACTGCCTGGTGCTGCCCCAGGAAGGGGGGCTCCTGCCCTGTGATGCTGCCCTGGTAGCCGGCGAGTGTGTGATCAACGAGAGCGCTCTCACGGGTGAGCCCCTCAGGACCCACCTTCTGCCTCTCCTTCCCCTTCCTGCTGGGCCTCAGAACTTTTACTTGTTTCTTTTGTCTCTCATGTAATAATCCTGGCATCAGCAGTTCCCAGCTCTACGCCTTTGGGCTATACTGGTTAACCTCCCCATGCCTCAATGTTCTCATCTGTTATATGGGCCCATCAGTCTCTCCTAACAGATGTTGTTATTAAGTGCCATCAAGTTGGTTCTGACTCATAGCGACACTACATAGTTTCCAAGGAGTGACCCTGTATAGGGTTTCCAAGGAGCAGCTGGTGAGTTTGAGCTTCCAACCTTGTAGTTCTCAGTCCAGTGCTGGTCCTCCAGTGCCCCACCAGGAGTCCAGCAGATAAGATTGTGCGAAGTGCTGAGAAGAGTAAATGGTGCAGACTGCACAACCAGTGTAGGTGACCTATGTCTACCCCAGTTAGGAGCACTCTGACCCGCATAGGAGGACAGGGACACAGAAAGGCATCCTGATCATACCCTCTCCTCCTCTCACTGCAAGGCTGTGAAATGCCTTTCCATGCCTTGCCCTGTGCATTCCTCTGTCTGATGTGCACATCTGCAAATGCGTCTCTTTTGTTACGAAACTAGGATCCTGTGGTGTGTGTTATTTCAGACTCTGCTTTTCCTGGAACAATATGCACATCCTGGCATTTTTCCACAAGCACAGGTAGCGCCGTCTGTACACTGTACGTGAGTCCACAGATCAGGTGTGCCCTAGTTGATTGTACCAATCCACTTTGTTGGTGTTAGGTACCTCCGAGTCGGTTCCAAGTCATAGTGACCTTAATGCACAACAGAATGAAACACTTCCTCACAGGAGTCATGTTTGAGTCCATTGCTGCTGCCACTGTGTGGCATCTCCTTGGAGATCTTCTTTTTCGTTGACTTTACCAAGCATGATGATATCCTTCTCCAGGGACTGGTCCCTCTTGATAACATGTCCAAAAAAATGAAAGATAAAGTCTCGCTATCCTGGTTTCTAAGGAGCATTCTGGTTTTAATTCTTCCAACACAGATTGGTTTTTCTTCTTGCAGTCCATGGTACTTTAAATATTCTTCTCCATCACCGTAATTCAAATTGGTTGAATTGATTCTTTTATGGTCTTCCCTATTCATTGTTCAATTTCCACAAGCATATGAGGTGATTGAAAATACTATGGCTTGGGTCAGGTACACCTTACTCCTCAAACTGATATCTTTTTTTTTTTTAATTTAAATGCTTTATTATGAATTATGCGATCGTTTACATGGGAGAACATTAGCATTACATTCATCCTATCATATATCGTTTCATTGCCATGGTTACAATTCCCTCCATGCATCATCAACCAACCAAAGGGTATACCCTGCAAGCCTGCCCCCCGGTCGTCAGCATACAGCCCCTCTCCCTCTCTGGGTCTGGGGTCCCCAACCACTCCATCTCTCCATATCATCACCTCTGCTTCCATCTCTGGCGTCATCTGCTTTCTGGGTAAGGTCCCATTCTCTGCTCTTCTCCCTTGATGGTCCCAGGGACCTCTGCTTCTGAACTGCAAAGTCAACCACTCCCCTCCTTTTGCTACAAAACGTCTACCTTTACATTCCAACCCTCACAGTCAGTCCTGATAACAATTATTCACTATTGTATCACAAGAGACCTATCTGCATTTCCTTTCATCTGCCCTGCCCAGGCAGATTGGATCCAACTCTCAAATTGATATCTTTGCTCTTAAGCACTTTTAAGAGGTCTTGTGCAGCAGATTTGCATATTGCCATTGTTTAATTTCTTGACTGCAGCTGCTTCCATGAATGTTGATTATGGATCCAAACAAAATGAAGTCCTTGATAACTTGAAGCTTTTCTCTGTTTATCATGGTATTATTTAGTGTCCCAGTTGTGAGGACACTAAAGGCTGCAGTCTTTCATTGTCATTTCAAATAAGTATTTCAGGTTCTCTTCACTTCCAGCAAGCAGGGTCGTGTCATCTGCATATATCACAGGTTGTTGAGGCATCCTCCAGTCCTGATGGCTCGTCCTTCATGTAGTCCACATTCTCGGCTTATTTGCTCAGCACACAGATTGAATAAGTATGATGAAAGGACACACACCTTTCCTGATTTTAAACCATTCAGTGTCCCCTTGTTCTGTCCTAACAACTGCCTCTTGGTCTCTGTACAGGTTTCTTCTGAGCACAGTTAACTTCTGAAATACCCGTTCTTTGCATTGCCCATAGTTTGTTATGAGCCACACAATCAAAAGCCTTTGTACAGCCAGTAAAGTGCAAGTAAACATCTCTCTGGTATTCTGTGCTTGTAGCCAAGACCCATCTGACATCAGCAATGAGGTCACTGGCACTGGGTATTTGGATTGTGGCTTTTCAGCCACTGCAGACAGTGGTGCTCGGAGTGGCCCTATCCAGTGTCCTTTTCTCTGTGTGTACAAGCGTTTGTTTCTCCAGGATGTTAGACTGTGGAGGGGGAAGGATTCTGGCTGGAGTCTTATGATAATGGTGATCGGTTTGACTAGTGGGTGGGCCTAAGCTGGGCCCTCCACAGTTTTGTCCAGACCTGCCTCCGCCGTCCGCAGCTGGAGGCAGAGGCAATGCTCCTGAGTCCCTGTCTGTAATTTGCACAAAGTCTGTGCTCAGTAAGGAATTGCTGCTCTTAACAGAGTACCGGGTAGCATAACCAGGGCTTTATAGAAGTTAGTACCCCCCTGGAACTAACTAACTTTGTTGTTGTGAAATGCCATAGAGTTGATTCAAACTAGTCCCTGCTTGTTATAAAATAATCCCAACTGGAGGAGAAAGCCCTCCCCTGGCTCCTGCTCTTGACATCCGTGCACACACATTTGGAGGAGGATCCTGGTGACAGGCTGGCACACACCCTCCTAGGACTGTTCCACTGTGTCTTTATGTGTTTGTCACTCCCTGAGCCTCAGCTTCCCTCCGTAAAATGGGACTATGGTATCTGCTTCATACCTGGTGACTAGAGCTGAATGAGACAGTTCTATGCAGAGCTCTTGGTGGTTTCTTTGGTGGGAGTGGGTGGCATGGAGGACCCTCCTCCCCTGAGCTTCACACTGTGCCCCTCCCAGGGGAGAGTGTGCCAGTGCTGAAGACAGCGCTGCCTGAGGGCCCAGTGCCCTATTGCCCAGAGACCCACCGGCGGCACACGCTTTTCTGTGGGACCCTCATCTTACAAGCCCGGGCCTACACAGGACCCCACGTCTTGGCAGTGGTGACACGGACAGGTAGGTGTCAACGACACAGGCAGACACTGGGCTCAGCCCCTCCAACAGAGGTGTCGGGGAGAGGTGGGAGCTGGGGTCCTGGACCAGCCTGCTGTAAGACCTGGGGTGAGTCCCATTGTTCCTTGGGCTTCAGTTTCCCCATCTAGAACAGGAGAGGTTGGGCACGCATTGACGCCAGACTGGGCAAGGGTTGCGGCAAACAGCATCACCTCTTCTAAGGAGAGTGGTCACTTCAAAGCAGGTTCTTGCCACCTGGAAGTAGGACCCTGTGTCCTCAGACTTTTCCAGGAGAAGCCATATCTGTGGATTTTAACTGAAGCCAGACAATGTTTAGATGTCAGTTCTGTTTGTTAAAAACCCAGCGCAGTCTGGTCAAGGCCTGTGGGCCGTCATTGGTGGCCTTGAACCACATGATGGCTACCCAGAACCATCATGCCTTACACCCAGAGGTGTAGTGGGCTGAGGTGGGCGTTGGGAGAGCTGACCTAACCCTTGGCTTCCTCTGCCTTCATTCCCCATCTTCTTACCAGGGTTCTGCACAGCTAAGGGGGGCCTGGTGAGCTCCATCCTGCACCCCCGCCCCATCAACTTCAAGTTCTACCGACATAGCATGAAGTTTGTGGCTGCCCTCTCAGTCCTGGGTGAGTGTCCCCTGCACCCTACTCTGCCGGGGGCCCCAAGCCTCTGTCCCAGATCTGACCGAGCCCCTCGCTCTGCCTTCCAGCTCTGCTTGGCACCATCTACAGCATCGTCATCCTCTACCGCAACCGAGTAAGTCTGGGTGAGGCTGTCGGCTGGGGCCTGGGGCTGCTCGAGCCTGGCCTTGCTATTCACGGTGCCTCATGCCAGGTGCCGCTGAACGAGATTGTGATCCGGGCTCTGGACCTGGTGACGGTGGTGGTGCCGCCCGCCCTGCCAGCCGCCATGACTGTGTGCACGCTGTACGCACAGAGCCGCCTGCGGAAGCAAGGCATCTTCTGCATCCACCCAATGCGAATCAACCTGGCGGGAAAGCTTCGGCTAGTGTGTTTTGACAAGGTGGGAGCTGTAGGGTGGGACTGCCTTGGGCAGGGATGGGCCTGCTGGGTGCCAGGTCCTGTCCCAGGGTCGAGACACTCTGGGGACCCAACCCAGTTCCCAGTGTCAGATGCATTGTCCAAAATCATTTATTCATTTGTTGAGAAAACATTCAGGACCTACTATGTGCCTGGTGCTTCTCATAGCCGGGGGGCCCCCACAGTGAACAAAACAAAGACGGCTTCATGTGTGCTGTTGTTTAACGCGTGTTCACCACCAGAGTAAGCAGTCTCAGACTGAGAATGAGGGTATATGAGATGTCCATGGGGGGCTCCATCAGAGGGGCCAATCCCAGAAGGCTTCTCAAGCAGAGGCCTCAGGGGTGGTGCCCCTGAAGGAGCAGACATGAGAGGTGGGACCGCAGCACCGCAGAGGTACTGAAGCAGGAAACAGCTTGATGCCCTTGAGGCCCTTATGGATTCTGAGGACACTGGGGCCATGGAGGGTTTTACACTGAGGACTGGCTACCAGCCTAGCACAGGAGCGACAGGTATAACTGGGCAGTTAGAATGCAGGGTGGAAAATTCATTCTTCCAACACCTTGAGCATCGTCTGTGGGATAAGGTCTTCTCTGCGTACCACGTATACTGCAGTAATAAGCAATAGGGAGGTGCAGGGGGCAAGGACTTGGGGAGTCCAAAGCAAAGATGTCTGGCCTAGTCCTGGGGAGTTATGGAAACTTCCTGGAGGGAGTGAAGACAGACAGAGAGAGTGGGAGGTTGGGGAGGGTGAACCCCGCAGAGGAAATGGTATATGCAAAGGACCAGGGTCCAGCAAGAGCCTTTCTGCTCCCAGGTTCTCATGACCCACAGCACAAGCTAGAGCTCTGTCCCCTGCCCCCTGCCCCCTACAGACGGGCACCCTGACTGAGGACAGCCTGGACGTGATGGGTGTGGTGCCTCTGAAGGAGCAGACTTTCCTGCCACTGTTCCCACAACCCCGCCATCTGCCCATGGGGCCCCTGCTGCGAGCACTGGCCACCTGCCACACTCTCAGCCGGCTCCACAACACCTCAGTGGGTGACCCCATGGACCTCAAGATGGTGGAATCTACTGGCTGGGTAAGGAGGTCAAGCAGGTCAGCCCCCTGCTTCTGGTCAGCTGGTCTCTAGCCAAGTCTGGGGAGTCTTCTAGACGCCCACCGTCAGTAATACTAACAGTAATAGGCAAGGCCATGTGCTGCACATGCCTTGTCTTGAGGACTCCTCCTCCTAGCCCAGGAAGGAAGCGTAACATTGGTTCCCTGGGAGAAAATGAGGCTGGCTTAGGTTTGGCATCACGTGTCCGAGTCACCCTGAACATGGCAAAGCCTGATTCCAAAGCCCAAGTTCTTCACTTCTCCCCTGTCCAGTCTCCCAGGAAGAATTCCAACTCAGATCCTTCCCACTGCCTCCGTCCACGGGCCAAGGATTGGCTGCCCCAGGCCAAGCTAGTGCCCAACACCTGGTACCCTAGTCCAGCCTTCTCTGCCTGCCTCCCAGGTCCTGGAGGAGTCTCCAGCTGCAGACCCAGCATGTGGGGCCCAGGTCTTGGCAGTGATGAGACCCCCGCTCAGGGAGCCCCAGCTGCAGGGAGTGGTAAGCTGAGGGGGTGCCTATGAATGTAGGGCTGAAGGGCTGGCTCCCCAGGCAGCACCTCAGTGGTCTCTCCACCCCACAGGAGGGGCGCCCGGTGCCTGTCAGCATCCTCTGCCGCTTCCCCTTCTCTTCCGCCCTGCAACGCATGGATGTGGTGGTGGCATGGCCAGGAGCCACACAGCCCGAGGCCTATGTCAAGGGCTCCCCGGAGCTGGTGGCAGGCCTCTGCAGACCTGAGACAGGTGACTGGGACAGACAGCCCTCAGAGTCCACTGGTCAGGCACAGGCCAGGGTGGCTCCCCACCTCTGTCCTCACCCCTTGACACCCACCTCTCCCTGGTAGTGCCCACCAACTTCGCCCAGGTGCTGCAGAGTTACACAGCTGCGGGCTACCGCGTTGTGGCCCTCGCCAGCAGGCTACTGCCCATTGCACCCAACCTGGAAGCAGCTCAGCAGCTGACGAGGTGGGTTCCAGCCTCTGCCCCACCCCCTCTGGGGACTGAGCTTCGGACCCAGGCTGACCCGGGTCTGCCCATCCATCCCCCAGGGACACCGTGGAGCAGGACTTGAGCCTCCTGGGGCTGCTGGTCATGAGGAACGTGTTGAAGCCACAGACGCTGCCGGTTATCCAGACTCTACGGAGGACCTGTATCCGCACCATCATGGTCACAGGTACCCGTGTGCCTGCTTCCTGAGCACAGGAAAGGGGCATCTTTTAGGGCACCTGCTTGAGACCAAACCCTTTTCAAACACTTGGTAAGATCTAAACAACCTCCGTCCCAAATGACAATTATCCCCCCATTTAACAGATGAGGCAAGTGAGGCTCAGAGTAGCAGATGCCTCATCGAGGGAGAGGCATACATTTCCAGGAACCCAGGTGTGGGTTCCAGCCTCACTGTTCACAGACCATGTGACCTTCCAAGTCTCAGTGTCCCCCTCTGAGAAATGGGATGATGACGCCAATCTCTAAGGTGGAGCAAAAAAAAAAAAAAAAAACCATTCCATCAGGGTGACGTGGCTGTAGCTCAGTAAATCTGTCCTCCTTGTTCTGGCCACCCCTCCACACGCACACTCTTTCCCAGAAGCGTACGCAGCAGTGACTAGTCTATGTGGAACTTGAACCTAGGTCCCAGTTTCTCCTGAAGCCCTTCAATACCTACTTTCATAGCCAAGGAAGCCAAGGTTCAGAGGCTGGTAACTCCCCAGCTGTTGAGTGGCAGACAAATTCTGCCCTTCTGTCATCCCACCTATAAGTGTCCGGGTGAGGATATCCTGGACAGCAGCTGGACCCATTCTCCCCAGGGGACAACCTGCAGACCGCAGTCACTGTAGCCCGGGGCTGTGGCATGGTGGGTCCCCAGGAGCGGCTTATCATCGTCCATGCCATGCCCCCTGAGCAGGGCCAGCCTGCCTCCCTCGAGTTCATGCCAGTGGAGGTACCTGCAGCTGTGAATGGGGCTAAGGTGAGCCGTTACCCCACCCTGTGTCACCTGGCCCAGATCCCAACTCTCAAAGGTGACCAGGGGGAACTAAGCTGAGCTTCCTGGGTCCCCCCAGGACACTGGCCAGGCAGAGAGCTCTACCATGGAGTCGGACCCCCACTCCAGTCACCTGGCCCTCAGCGGGACCACCTTCAGCATCCTGGTGAAGCACTTCCCCAAGCTGCTGCCCAAGGTAAGGCCGCCCCAGCTCTGCCTCCTCCCCTTGGCGTTCTCCCTGGTGGCTGCCTCAGCCCTTCCCTCCCTGTGCCTAGGTCCTGGTCCAGGGCACCGTCTTTGCCCGCATGGCGCCCGAGCAGAAGACTGAGCTGGTGTGTGAGCTGCAGAAGCTTCAGTGAGTGCTCGGCGGGGGCTGGGGGGGGCGGAGGGGGGGCGCCACAGAGTGCCGTCCCCATAAGGAAGAACCAGGCGGGACTCCTGAGTCTGTGGAGCTGAAAATCATCCTGCCATCTCCTCACTGAGCGCCTGCCCTGCCACACACGTCGACATCAAACTGAGTCGCTTTTGACTTACAACAGCAGCTTCCTAACAGACTAGAACTGCTCTCTCGGGCTTTCTGAACTGCACTTGGTGACGTAGACCAACAGGCCTTTCTTGCGTGGTGCCAGTGGGTGGGGTGCGACCCTGTGCTTTGGATGCATATTTTATTATTGTTTGTTGCTGTGGAGCTGATTCTGACTCCTGTGGGTACCACTTACACGGAGTATGTCTGTGCTCACGGGGCCTTCAAGATTGCCACCACACAAGTGCAACCACGACTTCTTACATGAACTTGAGGGGCCCAGGAATCACATGAGTCTGTCGACAGTCCCACAAGCTGGGTGGACTCATCTCACAGGTGTGACCCTGGCCTCACCTGCCAGTCTCTCCCTGCCAGGTACTGCGTGGGCATGTGCGGGGATGGCGCCAACGACTGTGGGGCTCTGAAGGCAGCCGACGTGGGCATCTCGCTCTCCCAGGCCGAGGCCTCTGTGGTCTCGCCCTTCACCTCAAGCATGGCCAGCATTGAGTGTGTGCCCATGGTCATCAGGGAAGGCCGGTGCTCCCTGGACACGTCGTTCAGCGTCTTCAAGTACATGGCACTGTACAGCCTGACCCAGTTCATCTCTGTCCTGATCCTCTACACGGTGAGTGTGAGCCCCAGAGGTGACCTGGCAGATTCTGGAGTCGACCACGTGAAGTTCCAGAGCACATGGCTCCTCAGATCCAAGCCCATTGTTGTCTGACTCAAGGCAGCCAGCAGGCCCGATAGCACTGGTCTAGAGGCTTGTAAGGCTGCTTGTAAGCAGACCGCCACACCTTTCTCCTGACAGCCAAGTGTTTAACCACTGCATCACCAGGGCTCCCTTGGGTGTACAAAGAAATGGGAGTTCCTGTCATGTGCTAATGTTTTGTCCCTGTCCCTGGGAGATCCCAGTCTGCCGGGGACACAGAGGCAGTGCCCAGGATGGGGGGCGGAGAAGGCCTTTCCCAGGGATCCCCATTTCCCTAGACCCACTCCCCTCCCTGCTCAAGATGATGCTGGGGCTATGCCCCTGAAAAGGCAGGAGCTCTGCAGCCCCCCAGGATCTACGGTTCCACAAGGCCCGGCCTGCACCTCCCTCTTCAGACTGGGAGTTCCCCAGTGGAAGGGGACCCACCTGTCAGATTTAGTCTCCCAGGGTCAGCAGCTGGGCTACAGGGAGGGGTCTCCCTAAAGGCAGGTAGTGCCTTCTCTGCACAGTTGGAGAGACAAGCTCCCCTATGAGCCCAGGGGCCCCCTGAGGGCTGGCTAGGGCCGGGACTCAGTTTCCTTTTTGCCCACCCCGCCTCTGCCGGCAGATCAACACCAATCTGGGTGACGTGCAGTTCCTGGCCATTGACCTGGCCATCACCACCACGGTGGCGGTGCTCATGAGTCGCACTGGGCCAGCGCTGGTGCTGGGGCGGGCGCGACCACCGGGAGCGCTCCTCAGCCTGCCCGTGCTTGGCAGCCTGCTGCTGCAGGTGGCCATGGTGGCCGGTGTGCAGCTGGGGGGCTACTTCCTGGCTGTGTCCCAGCCCTGGTGAGTATGGAACTGACCACCCCACTTTGAGCCCCCCTGCCCTGTTTTTCCCACACTCATTTCCTGATCCCTATCCGCTTGGCTCCAGGTTCGTGCCTCTGAACAAGACAGTACCTGCCCCAGACAACCTGCCCAACTATGAGAACACCGTGGTCTTCTCTCTGTCCAGCTTCCAATACCTCATCCTGGCCGCGGCCGTGTCCAAGGGGGCACCCTTCCGCCAGCCGCTCTACACCAACGGTGCCGCTGCATGGGGGGCGGTCTCTAGGGGCTGGTGCCCGCGTGTGAGGCCCACGGGGCAGTGGGGAGGCAGGGAGATGGAGACGGTGTCTCCAAGTGGAGGATGTATGTGTGTGAGACCACCCCAAGGGCATGGCTTCCTGGCCTGACAGACTCCCCCACCCCCAGTGCCCTTCCTGGTGGCCCTGGCGTTCCTGGGCTGCATCCTGGCTGGCCTCATCCTGGTCCCCGGCCTCCTGCAGGGGCCGCTGGCGCTGAGGAACATCGCCGACACATGCTTCAAACTGCTGCTGCTGGGTCTGGTGGCCTTCAACTTCGTGGGGGCCTTCATGCTGGAGGTGGGGCCGGCCCCGGGGATGGGGGGAGAGGGGACCTCGGCCACAGCAGCCCCACCGTACCCTGCCACCCTCTGCAGAGCGTGCTGGACCAGTGCCTCCCAGGCTGCCTGCGGCAGCTCCAGCCCAAACGAGCCTCCAAGAAGTACTTCAAGCAGCTGGAGCATGAACTTGCTGAACAGCCCTGGCCGCTCCTGCCCTCCGGCCCTGTGAGGTAGTGCAGGCCTCCTCCAACTCCCTGGACACTGGATCTCCCGCTTCCCAGAGACACCACTGCTGCCTCCACCTCCTGCAGCCTGTGGTCGGCGGCCACACACACTGCCCCCGGTCCCCTGGGCCCACCCTGGGGAGCACTGACTGCTTTGTCCCCCAGTTCAGACCATGTGGAGATAGCAGTCCCCCTCAGAGCAGCCGTCAATGTAGCAAATAAAATCACGATACTTTCCTGGCACAGCTGTGCATACCTTGTACCTGGGCAACGCTGACCTTCCCAACAACCAGGAAGAAATATGGGCCCCTCTTGAGAGCAGAATGTGTCTGCTCCTGACACCACGAGATTTTTTGTTGTTGATTTATGATCTCGGAGGCCCCATGTGACTGACTATAACTGCTCATAGTATTTCTTTTTTCTTTTTTTTTTTAAAGTTTTTATTGTGAACTGAGTGATAGTTTACATGGGAGAACATCGGTTTTGTACTCATCGTTTCATTGCAATGATTACAATTTCTGTGCATTATCATTCAACAGTATTTGCTTCCATTCCCTCTATTTTGTTTGGGGGGGGGGGCAGGGATGGATATACACAAAAACACTCAGGAATCATTTAAACAACCCAAGGGCACATTCTATAAGCCTGCCTCCTGGCCACCAGCACACAGCCTTTCTCTTTCCATGAGTCTAAAGTCAGCTGCTCTCTTTCTCATGTTCTCATCTTTGCCTTCATACAGGCTAAAGCCAGGCCTGTTTCCCCTGAAGTGCTGCTGGGGGGGGGGGGGGGGGGCAGAGGTGTTTCCAAACCAGCTGAGTGCAAACCATTTGCACCCTTCAGAGACCTTACTTTCTGGTTTTTCAAATCACTGGGCCTTTGTTTCATCATCTGACAGTATACGCTGAGCATATACTGATAACATTCAGCTAAGGATCTGACACAATGTCATTTAATCCTCAAAACACCTTTGCACGGGGTATTATCCCTGTTTTATTGTAGTGGCTACAAAAAGGGCTGCTAACCTCAGGGTCAACAGTTCAAAACTACCAGCTGTTCCACAGGAGAAAGAGAGGCTTTCTGCTCCCATAAAGATTTATAACCTCGGAAGCCCTGTACAGGGTCACTGTGAGTTGGAATTGACTTCACAGCACATAACATTCCCGTTTTATTGGAGATAGATGTGAGAGTAATTCCGTAAAGATTTACAGCCTTGGAAACCCTATGGGAAAAGCCTATTCGGTCCTACGGGGTCGCTGTAAATCCAAATTGACTCAGCGGCAGTGGGATTTTGGGGTTTTAGTTTTGGTTTATTCCCATTTTACAGGTGGTAAAGCAGAGGCATAGAAGTCATACCAGGAGTGAGAGGCAGGACCAGATCTCTGATTACAGGGTCCACACTGTGGACACTCCTGCCCTCCTGCGGGCATGGAGAGAAAATGGTAACATCAGACAAGTGCCCACTGAGTGCCGTGCCTAGTTGGCTTTTGATTGAAGCAGTTCCTTTGTCTTCTATCTGCCACACTCCCCCCTGACCACCCCATGCTCAGATGAAAACACAGACTGAGCCCATGTCTCCCAGCCAGAGCCTCACAGACCATCCCATGGGGAAGGGTGGAGTCCCTGACCTCATCCCATCCGTGGACACTGGCCAAGCCCCTCTCCTCAGGAGATGTAGCTCAGTTGTCTGGCCTGTCTGCTTGCTGGCAGGGGAGAACAGGAAAGAAAAACTTGGCTGCCTCCAGAAACACCCCCAAGCTCATTCCTAGAGCTCCTGCCCCACGCCCGTGCCTGTCAAAGCGGGAACTCAGTGAACAGGACGAGGTATGGGTCTGACCTGTTTGTTGTTAAGTGCCATTGTGTTTGTTCCAACTCACAGTGACCTGTATAGGGTTTCCAAGGCTATAGATCTTTGCAGGAGTAAAAAGCCTCATCTTTCTCTCGTGGAGCGATTGGTGGGCTCAAACCACCGACTCTGTGGTTTGCAGTCCAGTGTTTATCATAGAGTCATCATGTTTCCAGTTCAGGCAATGTTGATGTTGCTGCTGAGTCCATTCTGACCCATAGTGACCCTACATAGGGTTTCTGAGGAGCGACCGGTGGGTTTGAACCACCAACCTTGCAGTTCAAACTGGCCTGGCAGTCCAACGCATTATCCTGCCACGCCACACCAGGATTCCAGAGTTCAGGCCGTAAGTGCCATTTAAGAGAAGGCAGAGGGGCAGGGAAATGCCTGGCTTCAAATCCCTCCTCTGCCAGTAGCTGACTATTCCTGAACTTATTGAGCAGTTGTGTGCAAGGCACAGAGGCTACAGTGGTGAGCCTGTTTGGCCTGGGTGCAGCTTATAACCCAGCATGAGAGGATAGCAGGGGACAGAGCAGAGTGTCTAGGACACACTTTTTGTGAGCAGGTCTTTGAAGGGAGATGGGCCAAGAGCCACCAGCTACAGAAGACCTGCAAAGGTGGATTGGGGCTGGTTGGGACCTCTGCAGAGGCTCGCTGCAGTCTGAGGATGAGAAGAAAGCTACCAGTGATGGTCGGGGGCACCTAGTAGTGCAAGACCCTGAGGCTGTAGCAGAACGTGACCGGAAGGTTTCCTGGGATAGTCGGCAGACACCTGGGTCTGATCACGGAACCCACCTGTAAAATTGTAGAGTGCATTTGTCAGCGTACCATAAACAGTAAGTGGGGTTCTGGCTTGAAAGGGAAATTGACCAGATGATTAGGGTTCACATCAAGGAGTGTACCTGATACCCTGTGAGTGAGATAGGAAGCAGGAGGGGGGTTTCTCAGAAGAAGTGGGTCAGGGTCAGTGAGAAGAATGGACCACAAGGTTGGTTTGAACTGCCAAATCAGCACTTCAAACCCACCTACCTGCTGCTCCTTGGAAACCCTATACAGACAGGGTTGCTATGAGTCTGAGCCAACGCCATAGCACTTAAGAGTCCTGGTATGTCACTACTGGTTAATGCACTGGACTACAAGGTCAGTTTGAACCGTAAGGTTGCTATGAGTCGGAATCGATTGGACAGCACTTAACAACGAGGTGAGAAAAGAGGCAGGCTAAGAGTCCAGGCCAGGAAGCAGGACCAAACTCAAGAGAGTGACCACACCAAAATAACCAAGCCTGTTGTGGCTGGGTCAGTTCTAAGTCATGGGGACCCCTTGTGTTTCAGAGTAGAACTGCACTCCTAAGGCTTTTCAGTGTCTAATCTTACGAATCAGGCTGCTAACCTCAAGGTCAGCAGTTCGAAATGACCAGCTGTTACGTGGGAGAAAGATGAGGCTTTCTGATCCTGTAAAGATTTACAGCCTCAGAAACTGTATGCAGGGTGGCTATGAGTCGGAACCGACTCCACTCCACAACTCACCAATAACAACAACCTCACAGAAGCAAATTGCCAGACCTTTCCTCCTACGTGCTTCTGGGTGGGCTCAAACTGCAGACCTTTTGTTAGTAACTGAGCATTTAATTCTTTGTTCCAACCAAGGAGGCCTTATTTTCCAAGCCCTCAACATTCTGTCTTGTAGCGCAATACACTGAACAAAATGCCCTTATTGAAATGGGCAAATTTAGTTGCCAGCCTGGAAGGATAATGGCTATGGAGAGAGGCCAGGAGTGGAGCTGGCAGGGCTGAGGGGGAGGGGGCGGACGAAGGGCAAGGCTGGCCTGTAGGGAACGTTCTGGAATGCAGCTAGGCTAAGGTTTGGCCTTTTCCTCTAGCTGAAGAAGCAGCTCCCACTTAAAGCACCTCAAGATGTGGCAGCTCAGGGAGAGGGGGATGCTGTTTTTAATCCCTCTCCAAGTTTCCTAAAACCTAAAAACAAACCTACTGCCCTCAAGTCAGTTCTGACTCTGACTCTGACCCTGTAAGGTTTCCAAGATTATAGCTAAATCTTTACAGAAACAGATGGTCACATCTCTTGCAGAGCAGTCCTACTGAGCGGATGGTGGGTTCAAACTGCCGACCTTTCAGTTTGCAGCTGGGCACCATAACCACTGTGCCACCAGGGCTCCCCTGAGTTTCCCGTGACTCTAAAGAAGAAAATTCATTTCCTCACAGCTCAGAAGGCTTATGTTATTGTTGTTAGGTCTCGATGAGTCTGCTCTAACAAAGACATCACGTACAACAGAATTACTACCCAGTCCTGCACCGTCCTCACAATGGTCACGTTTGAGTCCACTGTGGTGGCCACAGTGTCAGTCCATGGCATTGAGGGTCTTCTGCTTTTCCGCTGACTCTACTAAGAATTAGAAGTCTGAATTCAGGGCACTGGCTCTCTCTGTCATCTCTGGAGGAAGATCCTTGTCTCAGCTTCCCTGGTGATCTTCTCATTTTGTGCTTACCTTCCTGAGTCTAGACTGCTGCTTACAGCTCAGAAGTGATTTGGTTTAGGACACACCTTATACTGATAAGCCCTTTTCCCAACTGGGGTTACATCCACAGATGTAAGGGTTCAGATTCCAGTCCATTTGAGGGAATGTAGAAAATATTTGTTTAGATAAACACCAAGAATGAGTATACCAATTTATTTATTGTGAGTAGACATAATTCATATTGGACATGTATCTGGAAGAAGATCTTCATTGTTGTGGTAATTTATCACAAGCCGGATTTCAAAAAGTTACCAAAGACCTACCATACACCCTAAACCAGCGTCTTGTCAGACCCAGGAGTTCCTACTTCCCAAAGCTCATGTTGTTTTAAGTGCCGTCAAGTTGGTGCTGAACCATAGCACCTCCCGTATAGGGTTTCCAAGGAGCAGCTGGTTAAACTTGAACTGCCTGTTCAGCTCATTAACCCACAGCGCCACCCCAGGACTCCAAAGCTCACAGCACATAGATAATCTTTCAAAATAACTCAAGGCCTAAGACTGAACCGTCGTCACTAAGCTGCTCACTAAACTGTTGTGTGGCACAGTGCGTTAATATGCTGGACTGCAAAGTTGGTATGAATCACAAGGTCAGCGGTTTGAACTCACCAATCCCTCCTTGGAAACCCTGTTATGGGGTCGCTATGGGTCAGAACTGATTGGATGGTACTTAACAACAACAACAAACTACTGTTGGCCCAGAAAGTGACCACAGAACTAGTTCCTTCAGGATTCTAGAGGAAATCTGATGGGGGATTGACTGGGGTTGGGAGTCACCCCAATTCCATGAATTGCAGGGGAATCAAAAATTATTTTGTCAGAGGACAGGATCCTTAACAATTCCTATTTTGCAAATGAGAAAAATGAGGCACTGAGATAGGTTGAGCTGGAGGTTGTGTATGAAGACATTATCCCTCTGGAAAGAAGGTGGGAACTGGGAGCAGGGCCCATAGGCCCAGTGGCCTTAATTCCAGCCACAGCCTCCATTCAGCAATCTTTGGAAGCTCCTCCTCTGCCCCCACCCCCGGAACTGGTGTATTTGACCTGATATCGCTAATGTTCTCACACCTAGTCTTGGTTTCCTCATCTGTAAAATGGGGATGAAAAGAACACAGTGAAGATTAAACAGAAATGAGGTGCCCAGCCACCGGCACCAAGCATGCACTCAGTAAATGTTGCCTATCACCAGGCCCAGAAGGCATACGTAACACGTGGAAGTCACCCAGCCAGGAAGTGATGGATCCAGGATTGACCAAGGGCCTCTCTGGTCCTGGTGCTCTTTCTCCCTCTCCAATCTGCTTCTTGTCACCTCACACTCATCCTGCCTACCGCTCCCCTCCAAGAGTCCAGCCTCTGCTTAAGCTCTTAGGAGCCAGGGGAGCAGGAGCTGAGAGCCATGAGACTGGAGCTGGAAGCTTTAAGAGCAGTTTTCCCTATCTTCACGTAGGAGCAGCATTTCTGTGGACAGCTTCCTCTTACCCCTGTGGGTTTGTGCCTGGCAGGGGCTAAGGGAGAGCAGAGAGGGCTGGGCTGACCCCCAGGGCTATAGTTCTCCTGGTGGCGAATGTGCCTGCTTGCCACATTCCATAGACACTGCAGAGGGGACAGCACTCAGTCACCTATCCATTCCACTCACCAGCTCTGGGGAGTCCTGGTCTGGCACTTGACCACTGGACCGGAAGGTTGGTTTGAACTGCAAAGTCGGCAGTTCAAATCCACCAGCTGATCCTTGGAAACCCTATACAGGATCATTATGAGTTGTAACCATGGCACTTAACAATAACAGCCAGCTCTGGGCCTCCAGTACTGCAAGGAAATCTAGTCAGTCTGACTAATGAGTCTAAGGGCAGGAAGTTGGGGCTAGGACCAGAGGTGAGGGTTTGGATCAAAGAGTGTTCGCCATCTCCCTCTCCCAACCTGCAGGCTGCACAGCGGCCCTCCCCACCTCAGGCCCTGGCTTTCTGCAGCCCTGAGACCAGACAGGGCCAGTCTGTGTCAGGAGAACTGAGTGTACCGGTCCATTCCCTAAATGTTTACTCAACTGTTTCTCTGAACCAAACTAGGATGAGCCAAAACATACCTCATTCTGCATTTATGGGGCTGACAGTCAGGCCCATTGGTCACAGACATAAGGGCAGGTCAGCTGTGAGCAATGAAGCAGAGGGACCTGTGAACACCTAAAGGGATGATAATAGGCAGTTTCTGCTGCAGAAGGGAGACTTAGCTGTGACCCAAAGGAGGCGGTTTCCTCTAGAGACCAGGAGGAGGAAACAGCTCAAGCAAAGGCCCTGTGGTAGGTGTAAAGAAAAAAATCAAACTGAACTAAGCTTTGAATTCTACTCTCCTCCCCTGTTCTTTAAGAATTCACTTTGTTGTTGTAGGTGCCATGGAGTCGGTCCTGACTCATTGCGACCCTGTACAGGGTTTCCAAGGCTGTAAATCTTTATGGGAGCAGAAAGCCTCATCTGTCTCCCGCAGAACAGCTGGTAGTTTCGAACTGCTGACCCTGAGGTTCGCAGCCCGATTCGTAACCACTACACTACCAGAGCTCCTTAAGAATTCACTTTAGATAACTTATAATTAGGAGTTCTCATGGTACAAGGGTGAAGCAGCTGGCAGCTAACAGAAAGACTAGAGTTCGAATCCAGCAACAGCTTTGCAGGAGAAAGATGTGGCAATCTGCTTCCATAAAGGTTTATAGCCTAAGGAAACCATATAGGGCAGGGCAGAACTGCCCTATATAGGGTTACTATGAGTTGGGATCAACGCAATGGCAATGGGACTGGTTGTGGGTATTTGTTTCTTGGTTTGTTTGTTTTATTTAAATTCTTTCCTGGTCTCTGGAAAGTAAGTAAATTTAAAAGGTCTTCTCAGAGGTCTTTAAAATACAATTTCAGGTAATTCTCCCCATAACTTTGGGCATCCTGCCATAAAGATACAGGAATAGTAGCGATTTTATCTTGCACATGAATGTAATGGGCTGTACATAGGATACTATTAAAGGATACTATTCTATTTTGTCTTTGCAATCCCTTCAGCAGACTGCGGCGCATCACCTTCATTTAAATGCTTATTCAATACAAGTTTTCTTTCTCTTCTATTTTTGTGGAGAGGTTTTCTGGGTTAGGAGTAGATTTTGTTTTTAGTTACTTTCTCCAACAAAGCAGTTGGGGTGGGGTAGTATGAGAGACTGCCAAAAGCTGTAACTGGAGGGGGACTAGGAAGAGAGTGAGGGGATACAGCCAGTCCACAGTGAGGTGTGGGGTGCTTAGGGGGCACGGGGAGGTTCAGTCTTTATTCTGAGTGCCATGGGAAGCCAGGGAAAGGCTTTAAGTAGATGGGACCATGGCCGATTTGCGTTTCAGAAATGCACTGTGACTGGGAAGAGCTGAGGGGTGGGGTGGTGGCAGGGTTTTTTCAGGAAGGAAGGCCCAGACTATTTCAGAGCCCAAGCAAGCGCATGCCCGGTGAGGGCAGTGGACAGACAGGAGAGAAAGCTGAGAGGTAAGTCAGTGGCTGTGCTGGGGAAGGCATGCAGAGCTGAGGGACGGAGT